TCCTGAACTGTTTCAACAAACATTTTGTTGCTTCTAGTTCTTTATTTGACACAGTTACTAATGGAAAATCAGCCACTTCACTTAATAACCAAACTTCTACAAATCAAATCCCTCCTACAAGTCAATCCTCAGTTAATCACAGCTTCTCTTTTTCTCCGTTCTCAGTCAGTGAGGTCAATAAACTGTTAAAAGATCTTGATCCTAAAAAATCTGAAGGTCCAGATGAACTTCCACCTTATTTCTTAAGGCTGGCTGCTCATATCATCACAGTCCCTGTGACCCACATCTTCAATCACTCCATAAGACAAAACTCCATCCCAGACACTTGGAAAACAGCCTTTGTTCTTCCTTTGCTGAAGGGAGGTGACCCCACCTCACTGAACAACTACTGGCCAATCTCTAAACTCTGTATTTTAGCCAAGGTTCTAGAAAAACTGATAAACTCTCAAATCAAAAATTACCTGGACTCATTTAACATCTTACCTCCACATCAATCTGGTTTCAGGAAACAACACAGCACAACCACTGCTTCACTGAAGGTTCTTAATGACGTTGTTGAAGCACTGGATGCTAAGGATTATTGTGCTGCACTTTTCTTAGACCTGTCTAAAGCTTTTGACACTGTGGATCATAACATCTTGTCATAAGCTCTCAGAAATTAGTTTCTCAGAACACACCATTGGATGGTTCTCTATCTCTCAGACCGGAAGCAATGTGTTCAACATAATGGTACTTCCTCCAGTTATTTAACAATCAACAATGGTGTACCACAAGGCTCAGTCTTAGGACCCACCCTCTTTACAATCTACATACTTAATGTAGGTAAAAACATCCCTGATGCATCCATACATTTCTATGCTGATGACAGTTGTTTATTGTCGAGCTAAAACTGTTGCTAAGGCTTTCCAGCTTTTGAAATCTGCATTCAACTACATCCAGACAGATTTGTTCTGCCTCAAACTTGTCCTAAATGCCGACAAAACCAAAGGGATGCTTTTTGTCAAATAGGAAGTTGGTCCCAGCAGTTCTTCCTCCGATTTTATCCTCAAATGGTGTCCCCGTTGAGTTTGTTGATTCCTATAAATGTTTGGGTATCTTGGTCGACTCGCATCTCTCTTTTAAGCTCCATGTGGAAAACTTGGTAAAGAAACTGAAAGTTAAACTGGGTTTCTTTTTCAGAAACAGATCCTGTCTAACACTGAATGCTAGGAAACTCCTTGTATCTGTGACTTTCCTTCCCTCCATTGATTACAGTGACATCATTTACATGAATGCTCCTACAAGAACCCTGCAGATGTTGGATGCTGTCTATCATGGTGCACTAAGGTTCATAATTGGCTGTGATTATCGTACCCACCACTGCACCCTGAATTCACTGGTTAACTGGACATCATTAACTTCACGCAGACACTCTCACTGGTACAGTTTTATCTTTAAATCACTTCTTGGTCTGCTGCCTTCATACATCTCCTCCTACATGTCTCTGCGTGAGTGCAGCTACGGCGTGCACTCTCAGGACATTATTACCTGCAGTGTTCCTTCAATGAGGACTGAACCAGGCAAGAGAGCCTTCTCCTACTCCGCTCCCGTTTCCTGGAATACCGTACAAAAACAATTGAAGTTCTCGACCTTGACCTCTCTGTAAGTGGCTTTAAGAACCTGTTGGACTCCTGGCAGGGACCAACGCAGACATGTTCCTGTTTTTAGTTTTCTACATTCGCCTTAGAATCTAGCTGTTTTTTTGTTACCTTTTCCTTTTAGCCATCCTATTTAAAAAAAAAAACAAAAAAACTGCTGTATGACTTTTTATAACTGTTTATTGTTGTTGCTGTTGTCCATTGTTGTCATCATTCTTTGTTGAAATCAGGTCTCTCTTGTAAATGAGTCCTCGAGGTTCAATGGGATTACCTGTCTAAATAAAGGTTGAATGAATACACATATAGTCAAGTCAAAAAAAATTTATAAAGCACATTTAAAACGGCAGCTGTTAACAAAGTGCTTAACAATAAGATCAAGGCAGTAATTAAAGAGAATTAAAAGCATAAAAAATAAAAACACAAACGATGAGAAACCACGAACTACTAAATCAAATCACACTGTGTTAAACGTTAGTGTGTTACAGGTGTGTTTTTTTTTTAAAGAGATTTAAAAACAGGAAGTGAAGTGGCCTGTCTAATGTTGAGGGGCAGATTGTTCCAGAGTTTAGGGCCCATGACTGAAAAATCCCGATCTCCTCTGAGCTTCAGTCTGTTTTTTTTTTTTTTTGTTTTGTTTTTTGGTACAACCAAAAGCAGCTGATCAGATGATCTTGGCGCTCGAGAAGGAACATATGGTTGAAGTAGGTCATAGAGGTATGAAGGTGCAAGGCCATTAATGCATTTAAAGGTCAACAGGAGAATTTTAAAATCAATTCTGACATGTACAGGAAGCCAGTGAAGGGAGGACAAAACTGGTGAAATATGTTCAAACCTATGAGTTTCTGTTGAGAGCCGTGCTGCAGCATTCTGGACAAGATGGAGTTGTGAAAGAGACACCAGACTGACCCCATCATAAAGCATGTTACAGTAGTCCAGTTGGGTTGTAATGAATGCATGGACTATATTTTTCCAAGGTCAGATCTGGTCAACACGGACTTAAGCTTCGCTATTTGCCTTAACTGGAAGAAGCTTTTTTTAGTAGAATAGAGTTTGTTAAAGTCAGAGTCTAAAACCATCCTGAGATTTGTAACGGACTGCTTAAGATATGACACAAGGGAGTCTAGGTTAACGGGCTCAGAGACAGCAGTAGAGCTAGGGCTAAACACAAGAATTCAGTTTTCTGATCGTTGAAACTTAAAAAGTTTGAAGCTATCAATGATTCAAAATAAAAACATAGAAAAGTTGTATTTTCACAGCTACTATGACTTTTATCTATTAGAATATGCCAGTTGTGGTTATCTTAGTCATGTGCAAATACTTTTCAGTTTTATTCTGTCTATAACTACTTTGGAGAGGTTTAAGTAGATTTTAGACTGTTTTTCACACTTTGAATGAATCATCTTGCAACAAATGTTGCTTTTTGCTATTTTGGTCTTGGTAGGGAATGGCATTTGTTTATAGACAGCTGTCAAAGTGTCACTATGCTTTCAGTGCTGAGCATGAATGTGCATCTGTGGATGTTTTGCATTTTTATTTTGGCATGGTAAGCTGAAGAAAAAAAAGAAATAATAGCCCCACTAGATATATAAGTTAAAAAAAAGGTCACTACGCAGTTACAACTATAATCTAAGTTTAATTGTAAGGTTGAACACTAGAACGTTTGTCTGTGTTTAGCCAAGCCAAAAACTAATTCTCCATTCACCAGTGGACTGAATTTCCTGGACAGCCTGGCATGTGGCCAAGTCTGTGTGAGTTTGGGGGGAGGTCTTTGGCTATAGGGTTTCCAAGTGCAGTGAGTTTGCAGCTCTAGTTAGGCATGCAGTAAATGTGGGTCATGCAAGGATATGCTCAGGAAACTTGAGATGGGTGGTTCCACATTTCTTTGTTAATGCACAGGCCCTACTAATGCAATAAGGCTTCTACTCGTATACATTCAGCAGGTTGCTGTCAAAGAATTATTAGGTTTGCCGTTTTGTGAATCGTTCAAAACAAAAAAAAAATCTGTTTTTGTTCAGAAGTAGAGAAGTTGATTATAGCGGCACTTGAGACAATAAACAAATACTGCTGGTTTACACAGTTGTTATGATTTATGTGTCTAAATTCATACAGATGCCTGTTTTGTGCTGCATGAGAGTGATGGTTTTAATGCTGATGTTTGGTCTTAAGAGCATAGTGTGAAACCAACCATATTAAAATTATCTTTCAGAATTTGTTGAATTGTTTCTAGTTTGGCTTCTCTCACTCAATGCATTTCTTTGTGTCATGACTAGTGACTGCTGCTGCTGTAACATGAAAACTATGAATAGCAGCTGTTGCACAAGGAGGCTGATTTATTTTAAATTTATTTTACATTTATGTGTGATTCCCTGTCAGCAGTTTCTTTTCTGATTTCGGTTTTCAAAGCATTAAGGCCAAAGCCAGACACGTTCTTTTGGTTTACAAAAGAAAAAAAAAAACAGTTCCACATTCTTACAAGACAGCTGCTTTGTCATTAACAAGTACGACTCAAGTTGGTTCTCATCTCATCGGTTCTTCTTGGCTGTAGGTGATTTGCCACCATGACTTGTTTGCCCACTCTGTGGGTGGACATCATAACTAAACTGATCAAAAGTTTTTTTGTTTTTTTTTAGCTTATCCCAGCACTGCTTAAAGGTCCAGGTGTAGCCGTGCTGCGCCGTCATCGACAATATTTTTGCAGTACATTAGTGTTTCTTGTAGTGCTGTCCAGCTTGTGCTGAATCTTTTGATCTGCCAATATATATATAAAAAAAAGTCAAAAGCCATCAGCATCTATAACATCTCTTAATGAAAATAATGAGTTACAACAACAAAATAATTTCCCTTTGGGATTAATAAAGTATTTTTGAATTGAATTGAAAAACACAAAGGTCTATATTTTATCATTGGTCCACAGCATTGTTTTTGTAGCTTCCATACTGAACTAGAAACTACAAAAAAAACAACAACAAAAAACTAATTGGGTGGGTCATCCAGTGATGTAGCTCTGCTGGCCAGGCCTGCTTATGTCAAAATTGTCACCTCGGAGCAGGTCACTTAGAACCACAAACGAGATGGTCCCATAAACTGGACTGAGTGGGGGTTGGTACTTACATTGGGCAGGCCCTTAACTAGTGCGGTGTGGTGCAGAAGCAATGTGTAGAGACGGTGGCAAAGCGCTAAATTTGTTTGAGGAACATCTTTCTTCTATTTTGGAGACATCTATGAAATTACATTTAGATGATGTATTTTAAAAATATACTTTTCTTGGTCATCAGTATTTGTAATCATAAGAATAATTAATTTGCTTTATGTGCAGCTATAAAAGGGGTCAATTTTTAAATGTTTCCTTTTTGCTCCCTTTAGGATCGTAAGCTGTCGAAGGCAGAGCGACAACGCTTTAAGGAAGAAGCAGGGATGTTAAAGGGCCTACAGCATCCCAACATTGTTCGCTTTTATGACTCCTGGGAGGGACCTTCCAAGGGAAGGAAGTGCATTGTATTGGTCACTGAACTCATGACTTCTGGTACACTTAAAACGTGAGTCTCAACTTTTACAAATTTATCTGATGTACAAATGAACAAGTACTTGTTAATATTTATTTACTCATTTTTAAAAGGGAATGTAGACATGTCTGTTATCATCTTTTATGAAGAAAACTGTCATTTTACTATCATGACTTGTTCTGTGCTTCCTGGAAGATGTTTAGAAATCTGTTCTGTTCTTTTCTAGATATCTGAAGCGGTTTAAGGTGATGAAAATCAAAGTGCTTCGTAGCTGGTGTAGACAAATCCTTAAGGGACTCCACTTCCTTCATACTCGGGCTCCTCCAATCATCCACAGGGACCTCAAATGTGACAACATTTTCATCACAGGACCAACAGGATCTGTCAAGATTGGAGACCTGGGACTGGCCACTCTCAAGCGTGCATCTTTTGCCAAAAGCGTTATAGGTATGAACCCAAAGCCAATTCAGCCTTCTGATCCCAGTGGGACAGTAACTTTTTAAGTTGTGAGTGTTATGTCTTCATGAAAAAATGTTTTTCTGACATTGTTGAAAACAGACCACAGCTTTTCAGCTGTCTCTCAAACCACAGCTCAAATGGAGGCCAATTACTGTGATGATCTAAGATTTTTCCTTTTTTACAACTGACTTTTTATTTGTCAATTTTGATACATGTATAGAGCATTTCTGTTCTATGTTTCATCAAAAAGAGAGGCCTTTTTCCCAGGCATCTACTGACTGTAAGTAGCGCCTAATGTTTCTCTTTCTATTAATTAAAAATCTGTTATTATAATAGTAGAAACTTAGTTCCTGCCCTTTTGGGGGGCAATAGATATGACTTTTGTTCATGTCTCAGACTGGTCTTCGTTCTGTGGTTTGGAAATATGTGGTCTGTTTGCCATTGATAATTAAAATGTTTTAACATCTCTTTGTATGGGCTTTCTTCAACAGGTTTTTTTCCTAGTGTTTTGTCTCTTGCTGTCTTAAAATATTTCAGGACTGCAGTCTTTTTGCGTCATCTCTCTGTCCAGGGCGCTCTCTCCACTTTCTCTCTGTCAGCATTTTATATTTTTTCCTTATTTCCTTTTTTTTGTTTTATGTTCACATTCTTGAGTATGTTTTAAAATGTAGGCTCTAGCCTCAGCTGTGCCCCATTCTGCTGTTTGGAATGAATAGGGTACTGCTGGTCATTGAGTAAGTATCTTTTATGGGCCTGGTAAGTCTTAACAGTGTGCTGTAATACACATCAATATCAAAAACCATTACAATCAAATAACCAAATGAGTTTTTCTGTGTAGGACCTGAGATTGAATCTAAAAGTCGTTTCAAAAGGGCTGATGTGCAGGACACATTGTTCAGCTCTGTAACTAGCTAATGGATGTGCTTCTGTCAGCCTTCACCTCAACACTTTTGTTCTGCAGGTCAGGAGGAGGTGGTAGGTCAAACTTCAAAAGGTAAGTGGTACTTGAAGGGTAATGTTAGATTTGTTTTAAAATAAGGTCTTGACAAAAGTCACTTCCATGGCTAGTTGTTTTTCTTACAGAGCTAATTGGCACATGTTTGAACAAATTCAATTTGATTTGAGCTTGTGAAATAAGTGCTTCAAGTTTAAGCTATTGCAAATAGCATTATTTCCTGCCAGAATGTGTGTTCTGAACATTGGTTACCACAGTCACACTATTATAACCCAACATGTGAAGGTCTTACACAGACAAACACGTCCTTTTAACTCTGCAGTTTAACTGAGCCCACCTTCCCCCTTCTTTTTTTTGTTTTTTTGTCTCTTTTTTTGCTTTCCTTTTTTTTTCTATCCTCCAACTTTCACCTCACAGGTTCTACTCCAGGAGATGTCAGCAGGCTGGTCACTCTTCTCATCCTCTTCTTCCTCAACCCCCATGGGTTAGAGGAGCAGAGGGGCATTGGGTTGTGAGAAGCCCACTCAGTCAGTAAGGGAGTTCGAGAGTTCTGAATAGTTGTTTTGATTTAAGGTACCCCTGAGTTCATGGCGCCAGAGATGTATGAAGAGAAGTACGACGAGTCAGTGGATGTTTATGCCTTTGGAATGTGCATGCTGGAGATGGCCACCTCAGAGTACCCTTACTCAGAGTGCCAGAACGCTGCACAGATCTACCGCAGAGTAACCAGCGTAAGTCTTCTCTTCAACCCTCCACGTCACGCCTCAGCCATGCCTTCACCTCCTCCTATGTACCAAGAAGGCAATTGTCTCTGGAATCATTTTTCATTCCTGTTGACACTCTTTGGTTTATCTTTCATTCTGTCCTCAATTCACTCCTACCTTAATAGAAAATGTGATTTTTGCACCAAAAATAAAAACAACCTTTGCTTTACTTAGTTTTTCTTTCTATCTTTTTTTTATTATTCTGAATCAGTGTTAAGTAGGCATATAGAACTTAGACCTGGTAGATTATAAGCAGGCTCAGAAAACAGTCATGTTATTTTCCTTGCAGTCATGTAATCTTGTCTGAAAGGAAGTAAGTGCATCAGATACATGCATATTTATTCATGCACATCTTGTTGAAATATTTTTGAAATGGTCAGTAATTTATGCTTCATGTTTCTAGAGTCTTCTATCATCACTTTTCCTCTGTCATCTGTCTTAAGACCTTCTCTTATTTTTTTCCTTTGTTGCACATTAGATAGACTTTCAGTAATTTTTTAAAGATCATTCTCCATGTCTGACCTTTACAAATCTAAGCATATGCGGATATAAAAACATTTAGTTTAATTTACGAAAAATAAGTCTTATAAAAATAATTTGGTTTAAACAACATTTATTTTGGATGCAATTTTGAAATTATACCAGACAAATAGATCTGTTTTCTGTTGCCTCAGTCAAGTTTAGTTTGAGACAAAGTGTGTGAGGTACCGGTATTCTCCAGACATAGAAAAGGTTAGAGTTGGAAGGTAGTTATTATTTAGGGTTCTGTGTTTTCTTTAGGGGGTGAAGCCAGGCAGTTTTGACAAGGTGGCCATTCCTGAAGTGAAGGAGATCATCGAGGGATGTATACGACAGAACAAGAATGAGAGGTCTCAAACTTTAAAACAACACATTTTATAAGTTCTGGGTATTTGCTTCTTCAGGAAAATCATCATTTGCTCACTACAATTTTTTTCATCCTTTTAGATACTCCATCAAAGACCTTCTGAACCATGCATTCTTCCAGGAAGATACAGGTGTACGAGTAGAGCTGGCAGAAGAGGATGATGGTGAAATGGAGGCAATTAAGTTGTGGCTGAGAATTGAGGATATAAAGAAACTTAAGGGGAAGTACAAAGACAACGAAGCCATTGAGTTTTCTTTTGACCTCAACAAAGATGTCTCAGAGGATGTGGCTCAGGAAATGGTGAATTGAACTGATTTATTACCATGAATAGCCTTTTTGACACAGCTCCTTTCAAGACAGGGCTGATGTGCCTTTTCTTGCACATTGGTTTCTTGTGAATTAATTTGAAGACAGAACTACAGGGTTAAGTTAATGTTGCATTTGATTCACTGCTGACCTGGCAATGGAAGCAATCACAAGGCTGAAATATTTTTTGTGTAAAAGAGACTACAAACAAACACACATAGCATAAATGTAAACAAAGGTTTTTTTGTTTGTTTGTTTGTTTGTTTTTGGGACAGCTGTGTAAAAAGGGCTACTGATTAAAAATGGGTTTATTATCTTAGTACCGGTACTTAAGTTCATCACTGATTGTGTGTCTGTTTTCTACAGGTTGAATCTGGTTATGTTTGTGAAGGTGACCACAAGACTATTGCAAAAGCCATTAAGGATAGGGTGTCTTTAATTAGGCGCAAGAGGGCACAGCGACAGCAGGTTAGTTCATGTTCGTCATGAGGGTTTGTGTTCCATGTGTGTTGAATTTGTTTTATTCAGTTGGTGTTTGTCTGTGCACTTTGATGGTTTTGTTCCTTGTCAACATTGGTGGATTTTGATGCATTTCTCACTGATTATGTTGAAGGTCAGAGAAGATCAGGAGAAGAGAAAGCTTGAAGAGGAGGCTCAGAATCAGTCGATATCACAGCAACCAGGCCAGCCGTCCTGTGTGGAGATTCCTCAGTCACAACCAGTGCCACAGTCCGCTTCATACGTTTCTCCACAACCAAACCAGCAAAGCTCTCAGATTAGTGCCCAACCAGCTTCTTTGCAAAACCTTCAGAACTCTAACTACAGCGCTGCTCAATCCACTCAACTGATTGGCATGTCACAGGGGATCTCTTATGTACCACAGTCAGCTGGGCAAGTCCCAGTTCAGGGTCAGAGTGTGAGTGGTGTCCAGCCAGAGAATGAGGAACCTGAGACTGACCAGCAGCTGCACACCGGAGGAAGTAAATATTTAAGAATCTTACTGATTACAAGTTCATTGTTTTAGTTTCTGAAAATTGAGGTTACAATTCTGTTCATCTTTTTGTTTGCTGTTACAGCTTGGGACATGGGAGACAGATTACCTGGTTCTTCTGTGCTTCCTGAGACCCTGCCCCCTCAGCCTGGAGTATCCTACAGTTCAACCAGTCAGCATCTTCAGCCGCAGGCATCATGCTCACAGATGCCAAATGAACCAACACAACTACAAGGGGTGAGAACTTTTATTGCATATCAAAACGCTTTTTCTAGTTCTTATAATCATTGTAGTTAGTACTACTTTTGTTTTCAAATGCATTCAATTGTAGTTTTAGGTTGTTCTCCCATTTAGCCCTACGTATTTATCTGCAGTAGTCTTCAGCATCCTTTTTGATTAAAAAAAAAAAAAAAAAAGGAAAAACCTTGTTGCATAAAATCAGATCTCACACCTGCCATCATTCTATAATTGCGCTGCTCAAGGTGGCTGCATGTTGGAGTAGCTCTGTTGCATTCGTTCATTCTGAGATATTGCTTTTGAAAACTTCATTCCTCTTTTTCTGGATGTAAATCCCTTTTTTTAATGAGTGTTTCCTCTGGGATCAGATGCTGTGCAGCTGGAAGGATTTTCATTGAAACCTTTTTACTTTTGGATATTTGTTATGATGCATAACCATAACAATGAGGTGGGTTTTTTTTTTATAACTGAGCAGCTGATTGAAATCTCACAAGCTCAAATAATACCTCAACTACAGCCCCAAATCCCAATGAGTAGAAAAGGAGGTGCCATGGGTGCATTCCTGTCTACTTGGCGACAGTACTTAAGTGCCTGATCCTGGAGCTGGCTGGAAACACAACTTGTGACAGCGTGAGGACCAGGATCATCCCCAAACACCTGCAGCTGGCTGTCCACAATTTGGAGGAGTTCAACAAGTTGCTGAGAGGAGTGACCATCACTCAGAGAGAAGTTCTGACCAACATTCAGTCGGTCCTCCTGCCCAAGAAGACTGAGAAATCCACCAAGTCCAAGTAGACGGATCAACATCTGCAACCAATTCCTTCAGATCCGCTGTAAGACAGACCGCTACAAAAGATCCTTCCGGCCCACAGTCATCAGCATCTATAACAACTTTTTAATGAAACCAGGATGATGAGTTACAACAACATTTAATTTCCCTTTGGGATAAATAAAGTATTTTTGAATTGATTGTGAATGTCATCCCTGCACTGACTTGCTACTTAAAAGGACCTTTGTTTATTTTCTGGAAGGAAAAATGCTCTGGAAATAAAGTACAAGTAAAAAAACAAAAAACTAGTTATGAATGACTGCTGTAAACCTCTTCCACCCACACCTTGCTGAAAATAGTTCTACCTGATGAGAATTTCAGGTACTATTTATGAAATGATCCAACTTGATATGCCGGTTTAAGTTTGTAAGAATAGCACCTGCACTGCTTGCATTTTCATATTGACTTAATTTTTAGCATGTTTGTTGTTTTGGTTCCTCTTCAGATGCAAGGTGTTCAGCCTGAGGTTGTCTCCACCAGCCAGTCTGCTGCGGGGGCACCTTCGCAGGTATGTTTTATGCTGCGCGTCATATTTATTAAGAGAAGTTCTGCGCCGTATGACAATGATTATGTCACTGACTTCACCCAAGTCAAATCTATGGCACAAAAACTCAGCTGTCAACATTGTGGTGAACACTTCATAAATACTTGCATATCACTGCTGCAAAAATAAATCCTAATCATTTGATGTAAAGCCCTTTTTGTCCCTCAGTCTATTTCATAAAGCCCAGATTCTTTGCTTTAGGAAATGTTTCACCATAAGTTCTTGGTTTCCCGGTTGTCTTTTCCTCCCATTCCGGTTACTTAGTTTCCTTTTTATAGTTTACTACTCTTACCCTGTGCTATGTTTTGTTTCTTGTAGTATGGAGTTTACTACCAACCATCGCCTCCCCTTCAGGTAGATGCAGTGTCCCATTCTGCTACAGTCTTTTAACACAGGATCAGCGTAATGAGTAGGATATTATTGCAAACTAAACATTCAACTTATCTGTACAGATTTGTATGATGGTCTCTTAACTTTCTACTTGCCCATACCCACAGGACCCGAAGTTGAACAATGGGATTTATAGAAACAAACTTGCACATAGTGAGGATTAGCATACAAATTAAATTTCTATGAAATGTTAATTAGGTTTATGATGAAGAATTCCTTGCCACAACAGTTTCAGATGGATGAACTCTAAATTAATTTTATTTATTTTATGCAATGTTGTCCAGCAGGTAAGAGCATGTTGACTCGAGGAGCACCTAAGGAACTTTCTATAGCTTAGAAAGAACCCAGTTTCTCTCAAAGGGACCTAAAAACCAGTATTACTGCATTCTTTAGTTTTGAGTTTTAACAGTTGCCTAATTCTGTTTTTTTATGTTTATTTGTTTTTATCCTTACAGACTCCCTCTCAGCAAGTTGTGTTGCCCCAGTCCACTCAGCCGTCTCTCCCACAGCAGCAGCCAGAAAGCAGCAGTTCACAGCCACAACCAGGAGCTCAGCAGCTGCAGGTACAAAGGCTCCTGCCAGTAATTTACATGGAAATTGATTTAATTTTACTTCCAACACAAATTCTGTCATAAATAAATCTGCCATAACATTAGAACATAGTCCAAAAATAGTTTATATTGTTTCAAAAGTTTATATTTTTATTTTTGGGCTGGGAAAATATACATTTAGACATTCAGCTCAACCCACCAAGTTCCCTTCTTACTATGTACAAGAGCTAAAGGATCTCTGATTATTTGGCACCAAATACTCCAGAACAAATCTCTGATGTTCTTTGTCTGCCCTAAGCTGTCAGCTGTTTGAATGGCCAACAAGAGACCTCTATATTATTTATTTACTGGCTGGTCATAATGTTATTGCTGACCAATATGTGTGCCTTTAACTCGTTTTTTTTTCTCCATTGCTTAACCAAATCTCATGCTGACCATGTTTTGAAAATTCTTCTAATTTTTTTTTCTTCTGAACATGCAACACACTTTTCTGCCTGTCTTCTTTTTTTTTCACTGCATGCTGCTCATTGTTCTTGCATGACTTAGTCTTGGGCCAGTGATCCAAGTCCTATCATGTCTCCACCAATCAACGCAGAGCACCTATACTTCCTCTATCAGGCCTCGTGCCTCTCTGTTCTGCAGGTATTTTACAGAGCACAAGACAAGTCTTGTGGGTTGTAGTATGTCAGCTTGATTTCCTCCTTAAATGGTTCCTGTTCCTAGAAGTATGTGTTTGGTTGTGTTTTAAGAAAACATTTTATGGTGCATGTTTTTATGTTGATGTAAACAGTGATGCCTCATTAGAATATTATTCTTCCCATAAACTTGAGCTGGGCAATCCTTACTCCACTATTTTCTTTTTATTTACATTTAAATAAATTAAAACATATTTTGAAATTTGCAAGAATTTGAATTCAAATTTGAACTTAAATGCTAAAGAAAACCATTTCAGTTTGCTGTTCCTCAAATTGGCCACATAAGGATATGTCATGTATCACCTTTGTTACAATTACACTCAAAGCCATAGGTTGAATTTAGAATAACAATAAAATGTAATGGCTCAACTGATTTTCTATATGAGCACAGAAATAACTAATTAATAAAATATAAACATTGCACAGCTGTACAGCTAAATGGTGTCTCCTTCATGTAACACAGCCCCATCTGGTGGTTGTTATGGATAAAACAAGTCGATTTAATTTAAACCATTATTATGAATGAGCATAACAGAATTAACTGAATGGAAGCCACTGAGACTTCTTGTGTCAATTTTCACATTATGTGTTCGTGCCTATATGCAAATCATGAGATTTTAGGTGGTCCGATCTAGTTTTAAGATCAAGTTCCCAGTTGTTCAGGATTTTTATGTTTGTGTTTCAGGGTTCTGGGACTATTCCTCCGTCAACACCAGTGGAGCAGCCAGCAGGGCCTTCTGTCCTGGCACCACCATCTGCAGAAAGGTAAGATGGTTCATATTGTTTTTTTGTTTTTGTTTTTTTCCCCCCCAAAAAAATAGACTTTCAGAAACATTAAACATATTGCTCAATACTTGTTTCTCTTTCAGCTGCTTGTCAGATGCTGCTTCAGGTCTTAGCGATGGTAATGAAGGAAACTCTACGTCAGGGGGTCGCCACGAGGGGCGCTCAATGAAGCGCCATCAGCGACGATCTGTTCGCAGCCGCTCTCGTCATGACAAGACCACAAGGGCCAAGCTAAATGTTCTCAGTGTAAGTATTTGTCCTTATGTTTTCCATTAATTCTGCTCATGATGCTCTTGTCATTGAACAGTTTCAACCTAAATCTTTTGCAGATTTCTAATGTGGGAGACAGAGTAGCAGAGTGCCAACTGGAAACACACAACAGGAAGATGGTGACCTTCAAATTTGATCTTGATGGCGATAATCCAGAGGAGATTGCACAGATTATGGTAATGAATTTTTTTTTTTTTTTTTTTTGTTAAATGTTCTTTCATACACACTAAACTTCTGTATTTTTGCAGTAAATGTTTAGGCTATCTTTAACATAGTCCTTTTAAATGGCAACAAAATAAATGTCACTGAACAAAGGACACTTACAAATGATGTCAGTGATCTTATATTTGCTACTTCAACCAATATTAAAGTGTATAAAGAATGAGGATTATTTATTTTCCAGTGTATGTTCTAGTTTCTAAACTGCTTTTGCTCCTTGTTTAGGTTGAAAGTGAGTTCATCTTAGAGAGCGAGCGCGAGTCTTTCATAGAGCAGGTCAGGGAGGTCATAGAAATGGCTGATGAGAAAGGAGAGAGGATGAAGGAAGGCTTCCCCCAGGTATTTACAACCCAACACTTTATTCATGAAATATAACAAGTTTTAATCCTTACCTACTGAAAGAGAAGATGCTTTTGTCTACATTTTTGTCTTTGCAGATTAATGACCAACAACAGCCTGAGCTGACTATTCCCATGGTGCCAGGTGAACAAACTAAAGCCAATTAAAGTTTAAACAGTGTTCAATTATTATTTTTTTAACTTGTTTTCAATAACACCTAATATGTTTATTTATTCAGGCATTTCCCCCAGTACTACCACTCAGGTGGTTCATTCAGCAGGACGGAGGTTCATAGTCAGCCCAGTCCCAGAGTCTCGTCTTAGAGAACAGTTCTTTGGAGCCCCCTCTGCAAACACGTCCATTGGTGATGAACCTATGTCTAGTAAGGGAGTAATTTGATTTCAAATTTGTGTTGATTACAAATTTTTTTATACATATTTGAGTAAAACCAACTTTTTTTTTGCTTTTTTTTTTTTTTTTTTAAGCTCCTTTGGGTCTTTCTCTCTCTGCTCCATCTGGAATTCTCCAGCAAGCTTTCATTAAAGTCAGGCAGGCTCGTGTAGACCGAAGTAACACCCTCGATCCTTCTACTACTGAACCAGAGCCATCCACTGATGTTTGTCCAAACTCTAGCAGTATCTCATCCCCCCTGGAAGCTGTGGTTTCCACCACTAGCACTGCTTCTCAACCCGTTTCTGTCACGTCTACTGCAACATCGTCACCACCCATTTCAGCTGGAAGGGTTTCACCTTCACCAGTTTCAGCTCAGTCCCAAACTGGAATCAGTGATTCTAGTCCTCCACCTCAGACTTCAAATGAAACAGCTCACCCACAGGTTCCACCGTCTACTAGCATCCCGTCTTCATCCTCCACGGTTTCCCCTCCATCAACATTGACTACTATTCCTTCAGTACCTGGACCTCAGTCAAACAGTACCACTGTCTCTTCTGGTACATCCAGCAGTGTTGGAGCTTCAGAGCAACAAGCTTTTAATGGTGCTGTTACATCTTCTCAGCCCCAGCCTCCTACTTCATTACCCAATCAGACCCAGATCCAGTCGCAGCCCGTAGAGTCAGAGGGGGCTGAGGTCCAGTCTAAGTCAGCTGGCAGAGATGACATCCAAGCCTTAGACATGAAGCTACGCTCGCTCTTTAAAGACCAGAGCACCTCTTCGGTGTCCGTGGAAGCCAGTCAGAACACAGGCACATCCTCTCCTCCTCCTGGAACCTGCTCCCCTCCTCCTGGAACCACCGTGGTGCCCCCATCTAATCTTCCCGTCAGTTCTGGAGTACCAGGTGTTGTGGGCTCCACAACCACACCATCAGGACATGCCCAGACTCCTCCCTCCAAGGCCCGGTCACAGGTATGTGGACAGTGCAGCACCTACAGATAAATCCAGCATATATTTGTGGTAAGTAGTTTTGGTATTATTATTTATTTATTTATTTGTTATCGTTTTCAGACTTTACCAACAGATTTTGATCCGTCTGCTACACCATCCTCTGAAGTTATACCTCCATTTCCTGGACCCCATCAAGTGAGATCCTGTTTTACAGATTAAAAATTAGGAAATAATCAATGTTCTAAAAATGTTCTTAATCTAATAATTCTCTTGCCAGAATATCTGAATTAAGGCCAAAACATATGAAAATGACACTGATTGACTGCATAGCCTTCAACATTTATTTAAAAAATGTGTCTCGTTTATTCTGCCAGCATAAGTCTTTGTAAAATTTGAAAACATTTGTCTTTTCTAAATGTCGTTCAAATCCTCCAGTTGTGGCTTCGGCTGCCCTCACTCAGAAACACCAGCTCTTGTTAGTTGTTCACTGCAGTGGTTCCTCTGTTTCTAATCAGGACTACTGTAAGCTCTTACTGGAACTGAGTTACAAACTTGAACAACGCTGCCAATTTTTTAAAAACTCTATTAAGAGAAACGTTTCTGTTTTATATCTCTTTTGTGAATAAACTAAAAGTATCCCATATTGGCTCAGCTAGTGAAGGGAAAATCTTGACTACTGAATATTTCAAAGTATGAACATTATGATTTATTTCTAATGTTTGAGCTGAAATATTTCAATGAATTGTTTTAGCCCCGTTTATATGAACTCACAGGATGAATAAATAACTTGAACTTTATATTGTTGGCCTTAAATTTGCATTAAGCCATTTTGTTAAACCTTTAGTAGGTCCTAAACCAAATTTACCTTGACTCACTGCTTCGATTTATTGAGGTGCTTGATGGTTTTCATAGTTTAGATTTTTCATGGTTATTGGGTGCGTAGGGTGTGTTATAAATGTTCTGGTTTTCTGTGTGTGTGAATCCAGTCACAACAGCTTCAGGAAAGTTTAGATGCCCAGCTGAGAAGAGCTCTAAGTCCAGAAACCATACAACCGGGTGACGGTGTCCAGCTTCCAGCAGCAGGTTTCAGTGAAGAAAGTGACAACGTGAGTTTGAGCCATTTCTCAGAATTAATCTTGTTAAACTGGTCTCAAACAGCTGAACTTCCTAAAACCTTGTGGGTTTTCTCTGTTGCACAGACTTCTGTTCCACCTGATGAAGAACCCAGCAGTGCTCCAAATCCACACACTGTAGTTTCTTCTTCATCCCTTACACCATCCTCTACGTCTTCTTTTTCTTCAACCTCATCCTCCTCTTCGCCCTCAAGTCCAGAAAATACACTCCACAGGTCATCACCTTTACCTAAAGATTCAGGCGAAACCGATGGAGCCGCTTCTCTCTCTGCCGGTCAGACCACAAGTATCGGACGTTTCCAAGTGTCCAAGACCAGCATCGCTCCAGCTGAGCCGTCCGCTGCCTCTAAAGTGGGACGATTCTTTGTCACAGGTGTGTAGCAAGTTCAAAACAAGTTCAAAGTAGCCAGCCCTGGTAAACTACTGTAAAGCCTTTCTTTCAGTAAACTCTTTAAATATATAATTAAATATAATGCCATCTTGTATGTTACAGGATGTCCTTTGTAAATATATTCAACTACAAAGATGGCAGCATGAAGTACTGAAGAGAGCAATTAGTCATCTAGCTAAAATTTGCTCTTAAATCTACTTTTACTACTAAATTTGTTGGAATGAAAGAATGTATATATTTTAGGTGTGATGTTTTATCTTTTTAACATACTAATTATATTTTATTTTATTCCCTGCAGTGACTCCTGCCCCTGCACCAATTTCCAGTCCATCACATAGTTTGCAAAATAGCCCCTCATCCTCGACCTCTGACCCTCAAAATACACATCCCCATTACAGCAGTGACAACGACGACGACGACTCTGAAACTGAGGACGAAGCCCTCAAAAAGGAAATAAGTCATCTTAGAGAAAAGTGCGTCACTGATTTGTCGTGTTTCAGAAAAACTCTCCTTTAGGTTAAGACTCGCCTTCCTGACACAGTTTCTGTTGTACTTCCTGCAGACATATGGTGGAGATTCAAGCCTTGCAGGCTCGACAGAAAGATGAGATAGAGGCCCTGTACTCACGGATGGGAAAACACCCCCCTCCATTAGTCTTTTCTCCTGCTGTGGCGATGGCTGGAGGCCGACGTAGGCTCAAAAGCAAGAGCCACAAATCTCGCAGTAGTGGACAGCCCAGTCCCACACACTCAGGTTAGCATTGTGAATTCACTATTTTGGCTCCTTTTAATAAATTCACTTTAATGCCATTCATAGATCCCCACCCCCAGAACGTTCAAGTGTTTTCTGTTTCTGATATATTTTGATCCTGAATTGGTTCCTCAGCTGGAGGTCATGGACCAGAGTCCTCTCCAAAGCGCAGTTTGCCCTCAGCAGTAAGCGGGACATCCACAGAACAACTCGCATCCTCTCCATCTTTGCCGAGCCTCAGTAGTTGCGCCACTGGTATGTTAAAGCACCTGTTTTACACGTTTGACTCCATAATAGATTTTCTTGTACTTGTACGTTTATTTTTTATTTATTTGCTTTATTAAGTAATCTTTGATAACTGTTTTGGACATTTTGTTCCAGAGAATTGACAAGGACGAACCACAGTTTAGCATGTGCTATGTTATGTGTGGAACTGCAATGTATTTTTCTTTATGGAAAGTCAATAAAGCTTAAGTCCTAAAAATATATATATATATATATATATATATATATATATATATATATATATATATATATATATATATATATATATTGTACTTCCATCTTGTGTTTCAAGGATTAGGTGGAACCAGCTCCACAAATGGATCAGGCTGCTGTCAGAACGTCTCTACTTCTATGTCCCTGGGCGCTGGACATGCTCCTCCTGCCTCTCACACTCAGAAGTCCAAGGGCACCTTTACTGACGACCTGCACCAACTAGTGGATAATTGGGCCAGAGATGCCATGAGTCTCTCCCAGTGCAAAAAGGGGCCTAAAACTGGAGCGCCTGCAGCCATTGGACATGAAGTAAGCATTAAAAAAACTGTCACAACTTTGTTTCTGTGTTTAATATTTTTGTGCTAACGCTTACTTATGATTTTACAGATTATCCCTCCAGGCAACATGGGTCGTAAATTCTCTGCTCCAGGCTACCTCTGCTCGGCCCCTCCACCCTCCAACAGTACGTCCACCACCATCACTCATCTGCCTAACGCAAGCAATCCCGCAGCATCCCTGGGGCCACGTAAAGGCTCTCTCGGCCCAGTTGCCCCAGGCTTTGGATATGCCTCTGCCTCCTACAGTGCTCCTCAGTGGGCAGGACCCACAGGCACGTGCCAGGTCAGCGTGCATAACCCAACACAGCCACTGAAACAGTACCAGCCGCCCACAACAGCCTCCGTCTCAATGCACCAGGGCTACCACGTGGCAACAGCACCAACTAACCAGATGTCAGCCAGCCATGGAGGAACCAACCCGAGGCCTACGTAGCCCAGTCCAAGTCCTCGAGCTGAGATGAAGAGCCATATGGGGCAGAGAAGACAGACAGTCATTAATTGAGAACCACGGCCTCTCTTTGCATTTTGCTGATTAGTTGACTTTGTATCGTGCTTTTTTATTTCAACTTCTATCATTTGTGTATTATTTCTGGTAAAGAGTTGAGCTGTGTGGTTTGAGCCCTCAGGTAGAATTAAGTCTGTCTGGTAATTGGCAGAAGAGTGCAATATATCCATTCGCAGCACAAACGTCCCACACTTATCCTGCCGTTAGCTGTGGAAACAAGCTGTGACGGGTCGGGTGCTAGTACCCTGTAATGTATTGCACCAAAGGCATGACCAAAAGCAGCCAAAGGTGTATTTTGAAAGCAGACGTTGCTGTTATGTCATTCCTTTTGAAGGGGAGAAGATATGGAGGGGATCGTAGTTCACACCCGTAAATGTCTGGACTTTAAACCAAGCTGGGACTGAAGCCTGTTGAGTTAGCGTCATACAGACATTCAGCTGAACATTAACCTGGTTGAACGACTTGAGAGGAAAAGCAAAGTTGTCTCTGAGAGAGAATGTGAGTGTACAGAAAGTGGAATGAGAGCGGGGGCAGTTTGTCCAAGTTGTCGTGTAGTGTTCGAAGGAAAGATTTGGTACGTTAGGCAGAAGGATTCATAGGGTTGGCAGTGACTAGATCCCAGAGACTACTAAGAAAAACGCAATAATTGTGAAGTACATAAACTGTCCCTTTGTAACTGTGGCCTTAATTCCCAAACACATTTAGACATTGGCTTTGTACATAGAGATGTCTTCATTGGGGTTATGATTCTGTATTTAACATATTTCTGTCTGTGAAAGTATGATGTCATTGTGATTTAAGTTGTTTTTTTTTTATCATACAGATTTACATATAAGCCAGTGGCTCTGCCACATGTAAGAGCATTGTCCTGGTGTTGACCACCATTTGTTTGCAACTGACGAGATGACGCTGCTGAAGTTCCCAAACTGAGTGTGGACAGGGTGATGAATTTAGTCTTTTTATTTTTTTTCCCCTATTATACAAATAGAAACATGAAACCACTTCTCTCTGGGCTCAGCTGTGAGATATGAACTGTAGAGTTTGCTTATCATATCCTAGAAACATTTTTATTATTACTATCAGGAAAGTATTTAAGAAGGATTTCAGTTTAATGGTGAGTTTTCCCACTTTTATGACTCGTGCAGAAAGACTGCAGTCACGTCACACAAAATATTCTACTAACATTTAACTGTGACCTCTCGCATCACAAGTGTGCGGGGTTTCCTTTATCTGTGGTCTGTTTTTGTAAGCATATATTTAATACAGCAGACGATGTTCTCTATGGACCTGTATTCAGCCATCAGATTTTGATGTTGTTTCACTGTAATTATTATTAAGGTTGTTAAACAACATGTTGTTAGAGAAATATAAAAAAGTGCAATTGCAGGGTTGTTATTAATATCCTTCTCACAACGCAGGAGTAATCCTGCCATTTATTAAGCTGTCCTATGACTGCCCTGCACCCATTTTCTATTCTTTTGTAAATATATGCTGAAGTGAAGTAAACGCTTTCATAGTTCTCAGTCACTAAAGTACGCTTGTGGTGACCCACTCGAAATGCACATGCACTCTGCAAACACGAGGAACACTTTAGTGCCTTGCATCCTCACTAATAAGTTCCAGCTCCCATCTAGTCAGGCAGCCACAAATTAACCAGTTAACTAAACCAGAACGCGAAGTAAACACCAGTTCAGAACTCGTTAACACTGAACCCGAGGCCAGGACTGCAGAACAAAGAGCACATGGAGTAACGTGGAAACGTTTCTTTTCCTCTACATTTACATTTGTGTTGGTTGTGTAATCAGCTGTGTATTTATATATATTTGACTCGTGGGAACAAGGATTTTTTTGCTGACATCTGTTTTTGTGGATTTATTATTAAAAATTTCATAGAAGCACGTGTTCGAGTAGCGAGTGAGCTGTACAAAGGTTCAAAAGTCCTCCTGCTGACTCAGCTGTTGTCTCACCACCTTCCAAGAGTGCCATGCTGTCGTCGTGACTCTTTTTGTCTGCTTGTAGATCGAATTATCTTCTCTAGAGAAAAAAGTGAATTGCTGCAATGCAGAATATGCAATGTTTACCGTCTTACAGGGAGTGAGGAGTATTGAAAACATTTGCATGCTGAAGAGGTGTTGCCATCTTTGTTTTTGATATCAGAATGTTTTTCCTTTAGTGAGTATTAAGATGTTCAGCTTCTTTTGAATGTCACAGGCACAACTTCAGCATCAGATCATCAACAATTTCTGCATGTTAGCTTCACTGGTGTTTAATCTTACAAATGACAACCGTTTGACAATTAGCCACTGTACAGCACAAAACTGCAAAAGTTGATTCTCGCTGTTCTCTGATATTCGGCCGTCTCCGTACATTACCGTTTGAGGCCACTGACAGTTACTCTCATTTCAGATCTCCCCTGACTTCCTGTGATTTTGTCTGTTTTTGTGTTTTTCACATTGTACAAAATGTAAAAACAAATAAAAATATCAAATGCAAGACTTTTTTATTATGGCGCATCATGTTTAAAGAGCTTTGCCGTTGAGCACGTTACTTTTTCCCCCCCATCAGTAAAAAAGAAGCAGCAAAGTACAAAAAAAAAAAAAAGGGGTTGAATGTTTGCAGCTGTCCTTTAGTGCATAGATGATACAAAATAAATAAACTTAAAGTTACAGTTTAAAGTGAACAGAGGTGTAAAGCTCAAGAGTCCAGCCGGCGTTTTTTTATCGTCTGTCCTTGTCTGTGTGGGCTGTAGACTTCACCTGAAGGTTCGGAGAAGAAATAAATGTTAGATTAAACTCAGCCGGCGGCTCGCTCATCCAGACTGAAGCCTCACCGTGTCCCTGATGATGGTTCTGGTGGTGCGCTCTGTGGTTCACCGGGGCCTCCGGAGGTCTGCTGCAGGCTCTCTGAGGAGTCTTCCTGCGCGTCTGCATCTGGTGGCTCCCAGGAGTGCCGGGCCGGATCCCTTTGGGAGGAGGTTCGCCCGCAGGACCGTCCAGATCCTCGATCCCATCCAGAGAAAAGTCCCAGAGCTCGGGATCATCTGCAGAGAAGCAGGAAAAACAAAAATCAGAAGAGTAAAACACCTTGTGATCAAACATGGAGTTGTTTCAGCACCTGTCGTGTTCCTGGAGCTGAGCTTCTGCTTCTCAGACGTGCTGATGGCAGGGGCACCATCTTCTCCTGAGGAGCAGAAACAGACGAGCTGAAGGTGCAAAATGAGCCATTGTTACATTTTATATGAAGATACTTTCTTTAGGCTCATGACTTTTTAAATCGAATGCAACAACACCTTATATTAAATAATTAAAGCCACAAACTTCAACTCTAACCAAAATCTATGAGCAGTTTCTCAGACCTGATATGAAACTCGCTCTTTTAAATCTGTTGATTGGAAAAAAATAATAAATACTTAGGACTTATTTAAAAAGCAGCTTAAGGCTTTTTTAATCAGACTTCCTTTAATTAAAGATCTTTTTGACATTACAATGATTGGATTTTATCTACTCTTTTTCATTGTAATAATTTCTATTAAATTTTTTTACATTTTGTTTTGAAGCATTTTGTGATTTTATTTTTTTAAGTATTATATGAATAAACTTTACTTACTAATATATTACAAGCTGTATAAGAGAACATTTTACCTTTATAAACAAAAAACTGCTAACTACAGTGTATTTAAAGGCTTGTTACAATAAACCATTTAAAAACAAATGGATACATTTGTATTCTATTTAAAATAGTTAGCCGAGTGGCAAACAGGGATTTATTTATTTAAATAGTATGAACTAAGAATATCTGCCAAGTGCATTTGTGATCAAACCAAACTGACCTGTAAACATGACATTTGCATGTCATTCTAATGTTGTTTTCCCTTAAACACCATATTACTCGTAAGGTTTAGGTAAATTATTAAAATATTAGCAGGCTTGTAACATGGGCGTAAATTTGAAATAGAGCAGAAAAATTTCTACCGGATCCGCAGGACCTTCGTGCGACCTCGGCCTCCTCAGACTTGACCCGGTCCTGCCTCTGCTGCAGCTTCTTGGCCTCCATCTCGCTCCTGAACTTCTGCTGAAGCTGCTGCTGGCGCATTTTTCTCAGCTGCTTGGAGTCCATTTTTGCCTCAGACGCGGCATCGTCCGCGGAGTCTGCAGCAGATCTTGGAGGAGGAAAGTGGAGGTGAGAGGCGTGATGACACGATGACACCTGAGAGGCGTTTGAGTGCGTTTACTTTGAGCTGATGTCCTCACTCTTCCTGCTGGAAGCAGAACCAGTGGTGCTGGGAGTGCGGACCTCTGAATGGTTGAAATCTCTGAGTTCCAGCGACGCCATGGCAGGTCGGGCTGTAGAAACAGGATTTTCATCTCGAACCAGACTGCAAAACCGGGCCTTCTCCACCGATGGCTGTCCCTCAGAACGTTTAGTCTGGCCTGGATCTAGAGCAGGTGGAGCCTTTGAGTAGACGAGGCAAGAATTAGTTAGTGGATTTAATTCATGACATCTGTATAAACCTATAACCAGTAAGTTGTTTCCGACCTGTTTAGGGATCTTGTTGATGGCAAAGAGGTACTGTTTATCCAGTATGCAGTTTCCAAGGACATTACCGAAACATCTCAACATGACAAAACCATTTAAAACATTAGAATTCCTGCACAAAACGAAGCAAAGTAACCAAATAGAAACATGTAAACGGCCTTACTTCAGTGCCCTCTTCATGCCGTCTGTGACCGCTTCCTTTCTGGCCTTTTCCAGAGACAGAGCTTTAGACCTCAGCCCCTCGCTGACGCCGTAGCCCACATCCTCATGAAATGAGCCGTCCTGGAGGAAAAATACTACTTTCACTAATTCACGTGAAAAACATGACCAAAAGAAATAAAAATACTTACAATTAACCTTAATGTGATCATAAATCAATTTATAGAAAGAACTAGTGTTTCACTAACCTTCAGCTGCACTTTAATGAAGGCGCTGACGCCGACATAAAACTTTCCATTGATGAGGTCTACAAAGTCTGAAAATATCCAGAATGAGTCTGACTGGCGTTAAAGCTGGATCCACTTGAGTTGTAATTAACAAACCTTCTTAACTCAATTCATTTTGGGCCTTAATTATAATCTTTGCACAAATTAAAATTATTTTTAGGTTAAAAAAATAATAAAACGCGAAGACAAAGCAGTCAATTTAAAGAATAACTTTTGATATTTCATATGCTGTCATGCAGCAGTTTATGATCAGCCGTACCAACGTTCTGCTGGGAAATGGAGTGCGACCACCCGTTGTATCCAAACATCTCATTGGCCAGGCTGACGACACGGTGACCTTCAATGTAACACACCTGTTTAAAGGACAGCTGGGTTAGTTTGATGCATTTTGCCTGCAGAGTGAAGCTCTGGGTGGGGTCGAACGCTCGTCACAAACGGGAAAGACGAACAAAGACTTGCTTTTTGCCCTCCTCCAGCCATTCTGGTACTGATGTACTCCGGTCCCAGCCTCTGCTGCAGGGCTCGTTGCACTGCCTGGTACTCCTCAGAGGTGTAGGTGCACTGGACAAAGTCCACACTCGGTTAAACACAAACAACAACAAAAAACAAAGATGCAAAAGGTTTTGTCTGAACACCAGTCAGACTGCATGTATTATTTTATTTAAATGTCTAGAAGAATGACTTGGAAAATTAGGTAAACTATTTCAGTGACATCATGAAAAGGCTCTTGAAGAAATGCTGAAGACATATTTTGTAATTATGAGGCAAACTTCTGGTGTTGACAGCTGCCCTGGGTTAAACTCAGGGAATCTCTGTCCGACGCGCGTTTCCAAACTGACGTCACCTCAGGTCACTTTTTTATGCAATGATCGGTTTATTCTGTTTCAAATATCCATGCTTTAAACATTACAGACTGAGACACAGACTGACCAGGTCCAAACTATTGATAAACGCTTGGCATAACTCGCTACGGCATCTTATAACACGGTCAACAGAAAATATGACGACCCCGGGTGCACCCAACTTCCTCATCCATACAAAGCCAGAACGCCCGTAAGCACGCCATGTATACCTGGTGACAGCCGAGCACACATCGACACACCCACCACCACCCAAGTGTCAAAGCTGCGTGCTCACCGGTCACTTCATCTATTGCTTGTTTCACTCATTTGGTTCTTACTTAGTCTTGTTTGTCACAGACTGCTTTATTCTGCTTTAAAATGCAGTAAGTTTAAAAAATATAAATGAGTTCAGTGACTCATCTCTGCACATCAAGTTATTTTCCTTTGCATGCAAACACAAACGGATGCACTTCTCTCTGTCTCTCTGAATAAAACAAAGAACTTCCTCCATAACATTAGGAGCTAGGACCTAACTTAGCAGATAATGATTATGTTTACCTGCATGGGTTTGTTGTGTCTGTAATTCACTTACCTGTCCAAAACACCTGGATGGTGCAGGGGAGCTCCTCTCCTCGCTGCTGCCCATGATTCCTGTAGTCCTAAACACACAGACGACGTTAAATATGACACGTTTCAAACCTTGAAAATTAATGGAGTCACAATAATATAGATACTTAAGGCTAAATTAAACCAAAAAAGGGCTTTTCAGAGGAGGTGACGTGTTCTGCACTGTTCGAAGATAAAACTGACTTTACTCTCTCCTAATGTTACTTTAACCAGGCAAGGATTCTGATATGAAGAAAATAATGAAAATCAAACGTACCACTTTAAAACCAACGAAAATGTTATTTAAGTTTTTAACAAAAGTTTTATTTGGTAACTTCCCCTCAACGAGACGAACAGTTGAACTTCCCGCTCGGACTACCGGAAAAGGAGGAGCCTCATTCTGCTACCTTAAAAAATATCGGAAAACAAATTCACTTGGTCAAAAAATAATTTCAGGGTTAAATCTGGTTAATAATTAGCACGAATTTTTTTTCCACAGATTTTGTCAACACATTTTATTGCAATGTATTATAATATCAAAAATAAAACAAATCTATAAAATCGCAAGAGTTAGATAGATAACTTTGCGATTTGACGCTGACGTGAATAGAGCTTGAAAATCCCACACTTTTGTCAAGACCCTGAAGGGGATAAAAATGACTAGAAATTGATGCGACAAGAAAAAACAACAAAGGACTCTTAAGAGGCCTGTAGTGTGTCTTCATGTACCATTTTTAAAATCATTTTGTATCTTGAATAATAATTTTTTTATCTCATAGTGCCATTCAATGTCAAGTTGTGCATATTTTGTTAATCAGATTTTATATACATATTTTAGGACTTTGGCCTTTGGGGTTCTGTATCTGTGCTTTATGTCACATGTAGTCATTTTATCAATCATTTATTAAAATTTGTGCCTCTGTGTGGGTTTATTTATAACCAACAATTGTTAGGTTGTTTAGCAATTGCTTGATTTCTTTTACATTTGGTTTTGTTTCTCATTTTGACAATGTTTTGTCAAGGTTCTTTACTGTCATTCACATCACATGTGGTACATGAGGTGGAACGAAATTATGTGCACAGGGTCCCAGTTAGATCCAAAGAGGACAAAAAAAGTGTAAAAAAAAACCCCAGTAAATAAGGATCTAAGATATAAAGGCTAAATGAATACCAAACAGCACTCTAAAATATCTAACATATATGCCTGTCACTAATAGTACAAAAACAATACACTGAACAGCAGCAGCAAGAACATGAGTTTTTGTGGGTGGATGAGTAAGAATGAATGAATTATGTGGTAATTTGTTCATTTTGTCTTTTTTTTCAGTAGTCATTATGTAATTGGTTTTCTAATTGAATATCTTTGCATCAAGTTAACAAAAATACATTAGAAAACTTACTTGTTATCATTTTAAAGCTTTTCAGTAATCGGTGCATTATAACCAGTACAGTAGTTGTGAACGGCTACATTTTTAATTACTCTCACCTAATTTCTAATTGCCTGGGCACCTTTTTTGTAACTAAAATATTTTACAATCAATTTGAGGGAGGATGGACTGATCCTTATCGATAGACTGATCCTTATTGCCAATCTGACGTAAAAACTTGGAGGCAAATAACTAAAATTACCTGAAGACCGAATTGATTCTGACGAGTTTGGGACTGAAAACATCTCAAAACCATGTTAGAATAAGGGTTGTAAGCTCAATCATACAGGTAGATAGCAACAAAACAAGTTAAATCATGTCATCTGGACTAGTTTAGTGAGAAACGTTTCGTCCCCCATCCAGATCCAGGATGTGAAGTCCACAAAGAGCATACGGACGTAAGAGTTTTTCTGCTCCAGGTGGTTGAGCGCAGTGTGGACCACAGAGGAGATGACATCCTCTGTTGATCGGTTCTCACGGTATGCGTACTGATGAGGGTCCTCGTTGATGGTTGTTTTGATGTGAGAGTCATGACCAGTTTTTCGAAGCATTTAGCGACTATCGGGGTGAGGGCCACTGGCCGATAGTCATTCAGACCAGTCACTGTAATAACTGCCTGTATCCACCATCTCATTCTTTCTGTCACTGTCCAGAGCTCGTGACCACAGGTGGGGGTAGGAACGTAGACTGACCAGTAAACAGAGAGCTTTACCTTATAGCTCAGCTCCCTCTTCACCACAATGGACCGGTACAGATATTTACATTTATATATATATTATTTATATTTATTTATTATATATTATTGTATATATTTATATTTCAGGTACAGGTATTTAAATTTATTTACAAATAATTCACTGTAAAATATGAACATTGAAATCTCCAAAGACTAGCTCTCAGCTAACCTTTAGATACAGTTATTATAGCTCTTCTTTCGATACCAAAGTTCATGCTCATTAATCCAGGTATAAAATCCAACAACAGGTCATCTGGACAGTTTATTTTTTTGCTGAGAGGTTTTGTTCCTCATCCAAAGGACTTCTTCAATCTGAGGAGCCACCAACAAACAAAACTGATTCCCACAAATAAATAAATGTATAAATAAACTGGACTGAATCGAAGAAGTCCTTCGGATGAAACGTCTCAGCAAAAAAATAAACCGTCCACATGACCTGACTGAACATTATTTGATTTTATACCTGGATATTGAGCATGAAATTTGGTGTTTTGAACCACTTTGGCATGACTGTCTCATGGGAGTTGACAGGGGAGAGGGTGGACCGTGTGCCCCAGAGGCCATCTTAGCACCAGCAAACTGTTTTTTCTTCTTCACTGTGGAGTATGCTGTTTGATTGTCTTGTTTGTTGGTGGCTCCTCAGATTGAAGAAGTCCTTTGGATGAAGGACGAAACACCTCAACAAAAAAAAAACCTGCCCACGTGACCTGACTGAACATTGTTGCATTCTTTAACTAGCCTGATGCTTTAGCTAGCATTCAAATACGGTTTAGCTTCTTGCTAGCCTTTTAACTACTGTCAACACTTGCTGTTTAAATTTAAGGGCTGAACGTCAGATAATGTCCAAAATTTACATTTACATTAAATGAAGCGTGGACCAACATATCTACCATTTACCCAGAATGCATTGCAATATAACCCATGTGTCAATAAATAAAAGATAATCTAAAATATTTTTCTGTTTTAGTTTTGTAGCTGAAGTGTTTATCAAATAAGGTCTATTGTTCCAACTAGAGACCATTCATATAAAATACCACAATGAAAACAGTATTTTTAAGCTAAATACCAATGCATAAACATTAAAAACACCTTAGCTGACCAATAAAAGCATCATTTAAATACTGCAAACAGACTAAGGATAGCTAGCACTTTTCTACGGTTAGCTAATGTTTTGCGGTGTTTATCTCGTTTTAGCTTCTTTAATCTTTAGTAGTTTCAGCAGTCGCACTGTATTTTCACAGAAAATGCAATTTCTCTGTTCTATTAAATCCTGCTTCTCCTTTCTTTACAGACAGCTACGATAATGATGACTAGGATATTAGTAATAACAACCACGATGCGCGTCCACGTGGTTTTGCTCGTGCCCGCGTCCAGGTTTAGCTTCTTTTTTTTTTTTTTTTTTTGCATCTCGTCAAAACTAAGCGGGGGGCGAGTCGAAGCGCAGGCGTGGAGCGCGAGCTGAACGAAGGTTTCTTCCTCGTGAATGAACCCCGCACACCTCGTCCGTCTGCACCCTGATGCCCGTGGGGGTGCGCACACCGGCGGGGAACAGCGCAGGAGCCTCCCGCCGATGAGCCGCGGACAGTAGCCCCTTCATCCCGCCGGGAGCGACGCGACCAGGAACGGTGAGTCCGCTCAGAGGAGGCGCGCGCACTCTGCAACTTTGTGTCTTTTATCTACAGCTTTTGTCCATTTTTATTTCTCCCAGCGGTGGTGGTTGTGTTCTCCGCCAGTTTGCTCCGACATTTCCTCCACACATTTGAATAAATATAAATTAAACAAGAAAAAGCAGCTCCACGTCCGCGCGGCGGGCTGCCTGAACACCCCCCCCCCCCCCCCTCCTGTGCGTTAAACCTGGACTCTTCATGTCTGCTCTCATCAATCTGGAAATCTAATCTCAAATTAAGCAGCACGGCTACAATAGTCCACACATGGAGGCGGGAATGAAGCGAATTCAGCCTGAAAAAGGAGCATGGAGAGGATCGGCAGACAGTCAGGGGGGAGGAGGAGGAGAACAAAAGCAGAAATGCCCAGACTGGCGTGGCATTTCATCTGTTAGTCTGGCTGCACATTCAGGCCAGCCTTTCTGAACACCCAGCCTCCATCTTTAAATAATAAAACAGATGAAAGGATGCAGGTTAGTGAAGGGTCTTAGGGGGTCCGGTCCAGCCTGCTCTTCTCCCCCCACAGGGGATGGGGCTTCACTGTACAGTGTGTCCCAGTGGTGGAGCAGCCTGGCCACCCTCAGAGCTGCTTACAGGAACTGCTGCCTCACTCTGATGCGTGTACAAACATGCGTTTCCTCCTTTCTTTCTTCTTCTCCTTCCTCGCCCTCTGATGTAACTTGTGATTCCAGTAAGGCTGGATGTGGAAGTCTTGTTGCTAAACTGCAGGGCCTGGCTGACACCACTTCCGTAAAAAGAAAGGTGACAAATGTGTGGTTTCTGTTCGTTTTGTTCCGCCGTCAGTGCCTCACACTGCGGCCTGTCTGTCATTTTTGACACCAGTTTAACCGTTTCTCCTCCCCTGCTCAGATGCTCGATGGACTCCGGCGGAGGCATGCCTCCCGGTCCTCCCCCCGACCCCTTTCTCTCAACTTTAGCACCTTCTCGGCCCCTCCTCTGAGCCCAGACCTGGACGGCAGCAGCTCCAGTGCCAGCGAGCACCCGATCAGGAGGTAAGGCTCAGCTCCTGCACGGGATTAACATCAACACAACATGATGCATCCTGGGAAATGTGCATGAAATATTCAGTAGTGCTCACATAGAGAGAGAAAAAAAAGAAACAAATCCCACCGTGTCTGGTTTTATTACGCAGCTGAGCTTGGCGTGCGACACACGCCGGCCTGGCGATGATCATCTCCTGGTGGGATGTTGCTTTGTGTGTGCGTGCCCTTTCTGCTCCTCGTGTTTTCAGTTTGTGTGTGAGTGGGCGTGAAGGTGGTCTGTTGTTTACCACCGTGCTGTCAGCAGAGTTTCAGGACTGCGTGGGTTCAAACTCATCAGGGGTTTAAAAAAAAATAATAAAAAATTCAACAAGTCGCTTCTGAAACTACGCAAACATTGTAATTCAGGGTGTTATCAGAAGTATGCACTCAACATTTACAATCAGGCTGCATCTGTGCGCCTGAAATAAATCAGGATTTGGAGACTGTCTGTTGAAGAGGATGTCCCATTTAGAGAGACGGGGCCATAAATCACCATGCAGATACCGTCCTGTGATAGCACCAGATGGGTTTGTAGTGCTCAGCTCAGGACTGCAGGATGCTCTCTCCATAGCTTTTGTACTTCCCTAATCTATTTATTAATTCAGGGGTCTGCAACCTGTGGCTCTGGGGCCACATGCGGCTCTTTAGTCTCTCATCTGTGGCCCTTTGAATATTTGACCTAAATAAACACGATACTGTATTTAATTTTTTCTTTATACCAACAACAGAAAAGGTGAGTTTTAGCAGATTTTTTTTTGGGGGGGTGGGGTCAATTTTCTGTAAATTTGTGAAATATACTACTAGTACAAGGAGTGAAACATTTTCATTACATTTAGTTACTTCATGTATCTATCCTCCAGGATTACAGTGGGATGTTTCCCTCAAAAAAATTAAATAAAAAAAAAAGAATAACTTGTTCAGCAAAATGCCAACATTTTCTGCACACTTTAAATTTATGTTTTATTATTTCAAAATAGTTTACTTAATTTTAAGTCAGAAAAAAAAGACCCACATAAGCCTGCAGAGACTTCCCTACATTTGGTCTTTCCTTTTACCCTAAAATGTCAAAATATCAATAAATGTAAAAAATCATTATATATTTTTATTCTTATAACTGGTCAGAAATCCCTCCTCCAACGACCTTTAAGTGGCCCATGGGCCACTAGTTGATAAGCAGGTTTTGTGGCTCCAGGCATTTTATTTAGGGAGTGAAGTGGCAGAAATGGCTTTTTCAGTCACAAAGGTTGCAGACCCCTTATTAATTATATGTTCTATAGAACACTGAAGAAAATCATGGAAATAGGTTGGTTAGCATATTTTAGTCTTTATATTTTGCTTGCAATGAGGAAGGTTTTTGTTTTATCTTTTAAAATCGGTTGTGAACAGCATTTCTTTAGCCTTTCTGGAATATAGGATTCTTATATATGATTCATCTGCCATAGATTTTTTTCGGCCTGATAAATAAGTTGTGGATGTGCCTGTTCATAAATGCACCCTCGTTACTGTTGTGTTTAAAGTTTTTGTCCTGTGTCTCGTGGCACAGCATTAAAAAAAGACGTGCAAATGATCGTGTGGATCGGTCAGACTTTAGGCCAGGGCTTTAGGTAGTAGTGTTTCTCGCAACATGGATAAAATTCACAAAAGACAAGAAAGAATAGAGAACCCAGTCCTTTACGGAGCTCTACAGCTCAGACAGATTTTGAAACACTATTTAAAAGTTCCACCTGGTCACAGAAAGTTCCACCTGGTCACAGAAAGTAAGACTTTACATCCCTGAACTGGCATTTTAACATCTTTTACAGTTTTTACACAATCACAGTTTAAGTTTTTATGTTTTTTAGTTAATGATGTCAAATTAACTTTACTGTCAAATGCTCAAACCTTTTTTGCAAGTAAACTCTTCTTACTCTCACTACTCTTTTCTGCACACATACAAATTATACATAAGCATTTTAGTCTTTTTTCACTCAGTGTGTCTCTCACTGTTATAAGACTTACGATCTTATAGTCAAATCCCTCCAGAATACGCAGAGCGTGCAGCCAAGCTTCCACAGATTTAAGTATATTTTAGCTCAAATATTCTCTTTTAAACACAAAATGAAGGGTCTTACTTGTCGTATCGTCTACAGGAAACACTGTAGAAACGTAAACATTCACACATGTGCCCATCAGAGCCTTCTGACACTCCCAGATTAAGAAAAAATAATATCTGAATTATAGTTTTCACACAGCGATCGTTTGTTTGAGGTTTACTTTTTAGGCTTCCTGTCTGCCTTTCATTAACTTGGTAGTAGGGAAGGAGAAGCGGGTGTGTGGTTACCGTGGTGACCACCATGAGCCACTCTTGTAGCATTTGCTTTGAGCTTGGTGCTCTTTACATCTCCGATGCAGTCTGTGCATCAAACTGTGACGCCCTTCAGCGTATCTTCACGTGCTTCTTATCTTCACAAAAAGAGCTTCCCGTTAAGAGAAAATTTGTGATAACTTTAAAAAAGAAAACTGCAAGGTCACACATTCAGACAAGTTCCTGTTTGTGCTGTTCTCGTTATCCCGGCCAGCTGTGGAGCAGCAGGAAAACCTCGTTGTTATTGTCCTTGTTATTGTGCTGCTGCTTCCTATCCCAGTTTTCGTCAGTCAATTTAAAAAAACAACACAACTTCCTCCTTCTCCTCCTCCTCCTCTTCACAAGCACAGCAACAGCTTCAGGCCTGCTTACCCTGCAGTTCCTCTGGCATCTGTGCTCTGCATAAATATTTGTTTGCATCAATGGCTGTATTGTAGCGACGGAGAGGCAGAGAAGGAGGGCGAGTCTGCCCCCAGCAGAGCATGTGCCATTGTTTTCTGCTGCTCTGAGAGCTCAGGCGGTGCAGTGACACCGTGCTTCACCTCCCAGCTGGACTCCACCCTTCCTGCGCCGAGCCGCTTCTCTCAGCTTGCACCGGTGTCCTACTTCTTCCCTGTCACTGGCTGCTCTCTGTTTTGTCTGTGTCCTCCCCCTCTCTGTTGAAGTCGTCTCTTCGTCCAGCCATCTTCCTGTCCGTTTATGTCCTGACCTTCTCGTCTCTTCTCTGCCCTTCCTTCGTCTTTTCCCCCATGAGGACTCTGCACCGGCTCAAGTTGATGAGCTCTCCGAGCCTCAGCGAGCTCGGGAAGAGTGAGAAAAGTTCGCCGGAGGACAGAGGGGAGAAGCAAAAGCGGGCCGGAGCCAACGCCACCTGGAACAGGTACACCTGATGGAGCCGGGGTGAGAAAATATGCTGCGTTCAGGACAGTTACTCAGAGAGAAGTTGTGTGTGTTACAGCATCCACAACGCTGTCATAGCGGTCTTCCAGAAGAAAGGCTTGGCTGATAATGAACTTTACACCCTCAACGAAGGCGTCCGGTACGTTCAGAGCTTCTTTACTTCAGACGCCTGATCTCACTTTGTGCTGTAATCTGTGTAATTACCGTCTGTCCTGTTCGCTGCTGACTGCATGTTTTCATGACAGCATGAGTTTGGGTATGATGTGTGCACGGAGGAGTCGTGGTCAGACCTGATATCTCATTATCTTTCAGAACCAGACCCATCGCTTTTATCTGTTAGCTCGCTGTGTTAAAACAAATTTACAGAAATAACACTAACACATTTTGTGAGCACAGAACGCGCCGTCTGATAACGGGCTGAGTTTTGTTTGTTTTTACTATGAAGCACTTCAGTTACGGTTCAAAATGTTACCTTTTAATTCAGGTTTTTACACGTTCCTGAACAACCTTAAGTCATACTTCAGATATTTTCAAATGTGTCTTTGTATAAAGATATAAACAATTACCGTATTTGCCGCCGTACACGTTGCACTGCCATATAAGTTGCATCTATTATGCGTCATCGCTGACCACCCGGAAACGTGGGCCGGTGGGCCAAAGATCGATTGGTTGCCAAATGGTGGCTGCGGAAGCGTGCATGGGAGGACTTTAACAAGAATTTAACAAGATTAACACTTAAAAACAATTATTTGTTTGCTTGAAATTATAGTGAAGATGTGTCTCAGTTTAACTTTTTCTTAATAAATGCACTTTAATGAACGTTTGCTCCAGGAGTTCTGGCGCAAGACAAAGGTGGCTTGTATGGAAAGCCAAGTGTCTCATTAATAGACACTTTTACTTATTAATGAGACACTTGGCTTGCCATAAGGCTTGAGGGCCCTCTAGCGGCTGAAAATGTTAGTGTTCAATATTTTCCATGTCAGAATGAATGAAATCGTCAGATCTCAGCCAAAAATTGGTTTATAAATATGAGGAAAAATGTATTAGTCACTTCGGTGTATAAGTCACAGGACTTACAATTAATGCAAAAAGGTGTGACTTATATGGCGAAAAATACGGTAATATTTTACATTTCACAGCTCTTTAAATGTCCTCGGTTTGGAGAAACGGTGTAATTCTGACCGGATGATGGACACACAAACTGTCAATATGAGAGCCAAGTGTCGCTGCCCTAAATGACCTCAAAATTTCATGTGAGCACAAATTTATAAACCTTCATAACTGTCCCAAAATCTGAGCCTGAGCTCAGTGGGGGAACTGGCTTTAATGGTTCATCTAAATTATGAAATGTCTCTGTTAGCAGATTAGATGTTGATTTTAGTTCAGTGTCAACGTGTTTACTTTTTATTTGTGTTTGTTCTTTTTGTTTTGTAATTTATTGTCTATCATATGACGGTCAATGTGGCCCTCGTTTGATTTGTTCTTATTTATTGTTCTGCACAGAACTTTGGTTCTATGTGGGGTTATTTAAATACTTTGTAATCAAAAGGTAGACTGGATTCAATCAGTGCCAGTTTTACATCATATTGTTATTTATGTAAAACTTTGTTATTTCCAAGTACAGATAGTGGCAGCTAGCTGTAGCACTTCCTGTATTGTTATGAATAACTGGCATGTAGAACAAAGACAAACGTCAGATCTTTGTTGTTCCAGACATCTGTTAAAGACTGAGCTGGGCTCCTTCTTCTCAGAATACCTTCAGGTAAAACATTTCTTACACAACGCCCTCTGGTTATTTAGGAGTATTCACTGAAGAGCAGCATCTTTACGTTACACTCAGGTTTATTGTCGACTCTTCACAGAACCAGCTGCTCACCAAAGGGATGGTCATCCTCCGGGACAAAATAAGGTTCTATGAAGGTATGGTTGAATACAGAGTATTTTATTCTGGACGGCCATGAGTTCCTTCATCTTTCTGTTCCTTCATGATCCACACAGGTCAGAAGTTACTCGACTCACTGGCGGAGACCTGGGACTTTTTCTTCTGCGATGTTCTCTCCATGCTGCAGGCCATTTTTCACCCAATTCAGGTGCACAACCACATGACAGTTTTTATTTTATTTCTCCAGTTATCTGTTTTGCTCAACTTTTCTTTCCCCAAGCTGACGCCTGCTTATCGTAGTTGCTGTTTTCTGTGTCTGCAGGGTAAGGAGCCCTCCGTCAGGCAGCTGGCTCTGCTTCACTTCAGGAACACCATCGTCTTGAGTGTAAAGTTAGAGGACGCCTTGTCTCGCCCGCGGGCCCGCGTGCCCCCCTCTGTCACACAGATGCTGCTTATTCTACAAGTGAGCCTTCAGATCACAAACCACACCTCACTGCTTATTCCATCGATTCGTTTTACTTAAATTTTTCAGAGTCTTGTCACAGTTGCGGTTAAATATCGTGTGCATAACGCTGCTTCTATAAATTTAAAGATGAATTATCATGGGAAGTAGTTGCAGTGAAATAAGTCAGGACAAAGAGTGCAGAACGTATTTATTGCGCCTAATGAAACGAAAGACTCGAGTAAGCATGGATATCTACAAACTCAATAGATGCAGAGCAGGTGCGCTGATTACTACAACGATCAGGTGGAAAGAGGAGGGAGAAAGTGGCACAGATAGACTCTTAAGTTAAAGCAGGATTTTCAGTTCAAAGCTGAGCAGATACTGAAGAGGAGCTTAACAAAAATCCAGATTAACCCCAAAAAAAGACATTAATTCAAGAAACCGACAGGCCGTGACGCAAATAACACTTTATGACTCATTTAAAAAGAACAAACAAATAGAAATAATAATGTACTTCAAAACCTGAAAAAATAAAGCGAGCTTCAATGCATTTGCTCGTTTAGCTTTTTACTAACATGGTTATTTTGAAACCAGCTAACTAACAACCTGCATAAGTTTCTTTACCAGCTGCTCTGCTGGCTGTTTGTCTTTTAATCAGATCTTATAAACAAATAGTTTTTAATCTTAGAGTCCTCAGCATGAAGTGATACATTAGAATGTGATTACATATAAAATTCATATTTTCATGCCCGACTGTACTTCAGGGGGTCCACGAGCCCCGTGGTGTGAATGAGGACTACTTACGGTTGGAGTCTCTGGTTCAGAAGGTGGTCTCGCCCTACCTGGGCACCCATGGGCTTTACTCTGGAAACAAGGCTGAGGATCATTGCTGTGTTTTGGGTCAGTTGGAAACGCTGTAATCACAAGGAGTGTTTGTATCTGTGGTGAAACAAAGTGTATGGTAATAAAACCCACTCTTGTTTTGCAGACAAGCGTTTGCCGTGGGGCTGGCCCAGGTCTGCAGACCAGCCGTCTAAAAACCCCGTGGTACGATCAAAAAGCTACAATATCCCTCTGCTGCTGACCCCGGTGGCCGAGTACGACCCAGACGCCAGCTCGGTCGGCAGCGGAGGAATTCGGCGCCACTCGGCTTGTGAGATGATTTCATGCCTGGAGGAACAAGGACTGGCCTACTCTGACCTGGCCCCGGGCTCGGAGCTGTCAGGTCCCTCCTCTAACAGACTGTGTGTGGGCTCTCAGTTCAACGGTACGACAGATGTTAGCACGTCTGCATCCATCTTGGTTGCGACGATAAAATCCATAATAACCTAGACGTGTTTCCTTCATAGGAGCCGGTGCCTTGGACTTGACTCTGTCGTCTCCCTCCATCCTTCATTCCTCCGGAGCCCTCCACGGCACCGAGGCAACAACGACAGTAACCGATCTCAGCATGGGGGCGTCCTCCACGCCGTCCAGTGTATCATCCAGCCCCGAAACCATAATCGGACAAGTGCTCGAGTCTGCCGGCTCAGACTCAGACGGGATATTCATTGAGTTCCCGCGTCACTCTTCAGAGAACATGGGGCGTAGCCGTGAGAGCAGGCAGAGCACTGTGTAGCTGCGGGGCGTTTAGGGACCCACAGCAAGCCTGTACAAAAATATTTTGAGGGGAACAAACAGCTTCTTACTACATTTCAACCAGTAGGTACCATCTTCCTTTTTATGTTTGTCCAATAACTCCATGGCAGCATTCTTCCACGTGCTCTCACTGGTGAATGAAACCTTTTTAACTCTTAATGTAACGTTTACGCATCTAAAAAAATCATGCATGTTGAGCTACACATGAAGTGGTACTTATGTTGCAGGACTGAATGTGAGTCCCTCCCAAAGTCGACACTTTTATTCCTGATAAAACCAAAATGAACTTGAACTATTAACAGGTAAATGCACCTGTAGCCTCAGCTGCACCGTCAATCTTAATTCTTGGACAGTTAAAGCTTAATGGAGCATCAACAATGTTTTCATCTGCAGCTGAACTTCGTCCCCAGCTACCGATGTGCAATGATGCATGTAGTTTGCCATCGAAAAGTTTTGTACGCAAAAAAAAAGTGTTTTTATGTTATTTATAAGTGAAACAGCATTTCATTAATTCACATCTAAAGAATGGTCTCCAGCAGAAATAACAAACTGAACAAAACTATAAGAGAAATAAAATAAGAGTCTGATTCTTTGTTTAACTCGGATATCTCTAGTGAGGTAGACATCTTTTTCTCCTCTTCAGGAGGGGATCATAAAATGCTACGATTTTCACACGCAGGTTGTATTTGAACACGTTTATCGGTTTGTTTTGTACTTAACGTAATCTGAAACGATGCAGAATTATCCTGCTTTGCTTTTCCACGTCGACTTTGAGGAGTTTGAGGAAAATACACGTGAAAGTTTTTTGTTTACATTTGACAAAAACAGGAAAATTTCAACTGAATGTCGTCTCACTGTATTTTGCACCACCACTACCATGTAAATAAAAATGGATTTGTTTTTTTTAAGATGACTAGATAATGTAAAGTGAACATTTCTTGTAAGTTTAATTGAATTGTTAACAAGGGCTTTTTTAATGAATCTTTTTTTAATGATGTTTTACCTCAAGCGTTTTGTACTGCCTTTTTTGACAATCTATGATGTCTATGGAGTTGTACTTTGTAATTTGTTACACTAGCCCAGTAAAAAATTAAATGCATTTGAATGATGTTTTTAAAAAAAGGAATATCTCGTGCTTTTAAAGTGATCTGTTATGAAAAGGGAGTTAAATTTGCCAAATATAAGTAGCCACATATATAGGCTTCTTGTAGATTTTTATTGTCCTCCATCAAAAAAAAAAAGTGGATAGTTATAGTTTTGCCCATGTCTTTGTTAGCAAAATATCTCATTAACCAATAGACACAGTTATGTAGTGATACACATGAGGTACGTGTCACTTGTTGTATGACAAATATATGGATATATATTTATGCATACTTTTCACGAGTTCTTCATTTTTCTGACTGTAAATGTCGTGCATTGAATTTAACAGAAATGTGAACGAGAGACGTTATTTATCTTTGACCCATCAAATGAATGGAATCATTTATTTTCAAAATCAAAGTTTAACATCAAACATTTACATTAATTTGGCAAAATATGAAAATAATAACAGACAGTTTCACAGAAAATGAACTTCAAATCACTCGGCGGTGATTTGAGGACTTTGCTTAAGATATTTCTAAAATATCTGTACTGATTTATGAGAGAGAGGTGGGTTTTAGAGTGAAAGGAGATTATCTTACAGAGAACTGTGTGAGGGAAGTTTAATCTGTTTAACCAGAAATTGCACGCTTCGTCAGATCCTCAGCTTCTCACGGTACACTTGGTCAAAATAGAACCATCTACCTGTTGACGATGAATCAGCGTTGGATGTAGTTCCTTTCTGACTCGTTTCAGCGTCTCCGTCGAGAGCTACCAAACCTTCAGAAAGTCGTGCGTTGATTAGCTCAAAACAGACTTATAATCCCAAACGTCCCTGGTTCTTCATAACTCCAAACTCTTCATAACCGGCTGCACTCTCAATCTGCTCATTCTGTTGGACTATCGGACCTGTTGTCAGCTCTCATTCCAACATCTCTCAGAACTCTCATTCTCTTGGAATTCTGGAATTCATAATTCTCTAAACTCCATTCTCTTCTCCATGAACTGAGAAGTTGCCACATTTTATTTGGGTCGACTTCCTGTTCAATTTAGAGCTTTCTGATTCGTGGAAGGACCAGAAAGAGGAGTGGATTTGTGACGTAAGATGTTATCATAAGTCAAGGATTGTTTACAACATACAGAAAAGATTATTTCAGCAACAGCAGACTTCGTGGAGTCTCACACTTTGTAATCTTTTCAAATAGTAAAACATGACATTTTTCTCGGTAAACATTTTAGTTGACCGAAAACCAACCTTTAACATACTTACGACAGCTTGCTCATTTCAGACAGAAAATCAAGAAAGGCATATTCAAGTGATTTCTTCTCTGAATGAGGAACAAAAATCATTACTTACTGTTTATGTAAAATAAAAATTAGTAGTTCTTTTCAACCTGTAAAGCATTGAGTGAACTAACACAATTTGATTATCAAAACATTTGTAAGACAGTAATGATTATAAAGAATTGTCTTTTCTGCTTGATTAATTCAAGAAAGAAAGTTCATCAGATGGCCCAGACTTATTCAGATCAATGAAAATAACAGTCTCTGTCCATCTGGTAGATTTGAGGTTATCTGGTTCACTACAGTTATGAAACTCAGAAAGTAACCACTGGATGAACATCTGATTTAACATTTAGTGTCAGCCCAATATAAGATGGCTGCCACAGCTAAATAACCTGAAAAAAAAATAAAATAATTGGCTACCACTCAGCCAGTTTAACAAATTATGACCTGAAACTTGGTGTGGTAGTAGATGAGACTAATCCCATCCACATAGCTTGAGTGCTAACAGATTGTCCATGATCTTTATTTTAAAATTAGCTCATAACTGGAGTTACCCGTCTGTCTGTTGGCAAAATGTACAGATGTTAATGAAAATTTCAGAATATATAACATCGACAGCTGATTAACCTTCGAAGTCTGTCCAATTCAACATGGCCACCACAGCTTATCAGCATTGTCAAACACATAAAAGGCTATAATTCATTCAGTGTTAAAGATATTACACTAATGTTGTAGATGAAAGTCATACCCAAAATGAACTTAAATGTACTCCACTTTTCAGTAGTACCTGTTGGCATCAATTTAAGGGCTGATATAGACCTTTATTTATTTTTACATTGTTTTAGTGGAGCGCCCTGAATAAGAGTTTATTTAATTGTTTGTGTTGACTGGTTTTATGCCTAATTTAAAAAGATAAACAAACTAAATATTTTCTATCAAACCCTTGTAGCTCCATGAGCATCAATAACTAAAGATTATTAGTAATAATTTCTAGTTTTGATCATTACAATAATAATACAAACAGGACATCCACTCATATCCACTGCTTTTAATAAAAAACGAAGGTTAACGTTGTTTCCTTTAAACAAGGCATTTACTCTAAAGGCTGTGGGAAATTTATAGTTTGTTTTGAGTTTTATAAAAATAAGAATCAGCGGGTGAGCCATGCTTTTAGTTTGAAAAGAAGCACCGGAAATCATTCGTTAGGTGAAAAAAAAAGCCCTCCTTTTGAAAATACAAACCGGAAGTTATGTAATAGGTTTTAGCTAGTAGCTAACATTTACGGCGTAGTTATTTGGCTTTTAAAACTAAATGTATCGTCCGTGTTTCTGCCGAAGTGTTTTTGTTTTAAAGTGTGGTTTTAAGAGAACAAGCCGACTCTCCGGTAAGATGTCTGAGCCTTGTTGTTGTGACTAGTTCAGGTTTGTGCTAATGCTAAGTGGAGTTCATGGATTTTTTTTCTACGTCTAAACTTTGGTGCTGGACTTATTTGTTATCTTCCGCCACGTGGTTAGTGTAGAGAAAAATAAATTTCTACTTTCAGGTCTCTGTTTGCTGTCTGAGGACCCTGGCTTGTGGCCACAACGTCCTAGATGAAGATGTCCCTGGCTCAGCGGGTCCTCCTCTCCTGGATCTTTGCCCTGATCTTCCTCATCATGCTGGTCCTCAAGCTGGACTCCAAAATCCACTGGAACTGGTTTCTAATCTTCCTTCCCGTGTGGACCTTTGACACCATCCTCATCCTGATGCTGATCGTGAAGATGGCAGGGCGCTGCATGCCGGACTTTGACCCCAGAGATGGAGAGCAAAGCCTGAAGAGGAGGATCTGGTACCTGGCGGCTCTGCTGCTGAAGCTGGCCTTCTGTCTGACTCTGTGCACCCGCCTGGAGGAGCTCGTCCCCAACATGCTGCTCAGTGTGGTGTGTGTCCCTCTGTGGATGCTGCTGGGTGGAGCACTGGTGGAACTGGGACTCAGTGTTTTTCACTTCAGGAGGGACTGAACTGAGGATCTTTATAAATCGGACTCAACTGAGAGATGATTCAGTCGATCAGGGTGAAATCTGCTGTTACTGCCTAATTACCGTGGCAACGGGTTACAGTTTGGAGCTCCATCCTTTTCTCCAACACCAGGGACTTATTTTGTGTTGTTCTCACTTTAAATTATAGATTTTAAATATACAAGTTAAAAAAAATAAATAAATAGACATTACCGTATTTTTCACCCTATAAGTCGTGTTTTTTTTTTTCATAATTTGCATGCCCTGCGACTTGTAGGGCGGAGCGACGTTTACGACAGAAAATACGGTACTTTTTTGGATTTGCATCGCTGATTTTTGTTCATATCGGGGTTATAGTTAAAGCGTTTAACTGGCGCTGTGATCCAAAATAAGCATCTACACAAGACCCTCTACAGCTCATCTTGTGCCTCAGAATTTGTGATCTCACTTAAAAAACCTCTGTCAGTAGTAACACTATTTGAAAGTAAGTACCGGTAAGTAAACTTGTTTTATTTTCTGTATCATTTTCAACTTAACTGCAGTTGGCGTTCTTGTAGATGCAGCACACAACATGCACTTTTACATCTGAAAATATTTGAACACAGACGCGGTCACATCTGGTCATGATGTGGTTTCATGAATAGTCTTACAGTTTTGACTCCTAACATTGTTTTTATGGCTGTTTACATCAAGACTGAAGGAAAGGAATTAGAAATGACATCTCTTTGATATGTGAAACCCCACTTTTTCTTTATTGTTTCAGATGTTAACTTAAAAGAATAAAACGCTAAAAACCATATTGCTGAAAGTCTGCTCCCCAGTGGTTTTCACTAGGGGCGGGGCTATGGGAGGCCCTGTCTGAGTTTGGCTCCGCCCATTTCATCAGGCCCGCCCACTAAAGAAAGAAAAGTACATGGGCTACCAATTAAATAACCTTAGTAATTATTTTAAATATTGTTTATTTTAAAACTTTATATCATCTGAAATAGATGTATAGTATAAATTTTATTCTATTTGGCAAATGTGCTGGTTCGTTTGGTGCAATAAGACTTATCTGAATAAAGTTTGTTATAAGTCAAGAGTTGATTGGTTTGATTGTAAGGACTGCTGATGTATATCTAGAGCAGAGGATCCCAAAGTTGGGATCAGGGCCCCCATCATCTCTACAAAAGTGCCTCTTTATGAACCAAGTTGAATTTGGGAGTCTGCATTAACATTAAGGAAAAGTGCCCAAGTAAGTTTTTTTTACATCTAATTTGCTGGGTAGTGGTGACATTTAAAATTGAGACTGATCAAAGCACACTTAATTGTAAGTGAAGAAATTCTGCTAATTTTCGTGACATGACAGGTTCCAACTTTTCACTGTTCAGTGTAAATAATTCAACCTAGAAATGCTTTTAATGCCTTTAAAGATTGTGATCTGAATATTGCTTGAAACATTTTTAAGCTATTTCAAATTAAATAAACCTTACAAAAAACATTAATGGGGCAGTCAAGTTTCTGCAGCTGTTTTGTGGGTTAGAAGCTGAAAGTTAGGAACAAAGATGACACACAAGTAAATCTTTTTCCAGTTTATTTTACAAGTGCCCCGCCCCCCACCTTCAGTCGGGCCCACCTGTAATGTCCTGTCAGGGTCTCGTTCTGGTCTGTACATCCTCACAGTCCGGTCTGAGTTGTTCATGGGTCAGCACACTCGGAAGTTTAAAGCAGTAGTTTTAGGTACGAACAAACCCATTCTTATTTATCTCATCTTGTTTGTGAAATATTTAGGTTTTAGTTTAGTTTTTCAGATCAGTTTTATCAGGCTGGAATCAGGGGACTGGATCATGGACTGTAGAATGTTTTCACCATTACTACATGCTTAAAAATTCATTCAAATTATTAAATTTTGTTTGCTTTTCCTCCCATTGGTGGTGGAGTGTTCCTAAAATTAAAAAAAATGCTACTGCTAACATCCCCAAAATTAGATTTTTGTGTGTTAAATGTAAACACAAAACTGGAGACGTTCAGTGACTTATTAATCATTTTTGAACCATTTATTGGAGAGGCTCTAATCAAGAGTATAAATCACACTACCAAGTCTTATCTTAGGAAATAAAATGTATTTACAACAGAATTTCCCCCCACATACATTGGTTTCAAATAAAAACAGACAGTAAATGATATAAATAAGTTCTATGGAAAATAAAACTCGTCTTACAAAAAATATATGCAATTTCTGTATACATTTCTCACATTGGTGCTAATAACATCTATACTGTACAGTTTTGGTACATACAGTATTATTTACAGCCCTGTGTGAGTCAAACCGTTCAGTCTGAAAACAACTATGGTACTAGCTCTGGTTTCGGAGTGTTAGAAACAAGAAAAAGAAACTTTTAGCTCTGCGACTTGCTGATCTATTCCCAACAGTGTTTAATTAATAAAGCAGGAAGTTTTTGTTTTCAGATTGGCTAGACGGGTACCTAAAACAAGCTTTCAGTGAAGCCAAGTGCTGCACAGGCACTGATGCGTGGGTCACATAACATTTGATATAAAGCCTACATACATCTGCTAACAAACAGGAAGTGATCTGTTTAGCTTACATTCTTAAGGCCTGTTAAAATACCTGCGGGGCTCATCTTTGATTCAGAGCGTCACACGAACATCGCGAGTCAAAAGTAGCAACGCTTGAAACTTTGTTGCAGCTTAAAGCGTGCCGAAGTCTGAAAGGAAGATGAACTTGGAAATATTTTTAAACCTTGCTGTAAGTTGTACAGTAAAAACAGACAAGACATTCATAGTAAGAAGTCTTTTTGCGTTTGGTGCGCGTGTGTTTTCAGAGGCTGTTTTATCGAGTGCTGCTGTGGTCCAGTGTCCTGTAGCGTCGACGCAGGTTTTCCCAGCGACAAGTCCTTTACTTTTAGTCCTTTAGAGGAAACCATAGTCCGCGAGTCTGATCCAGACTTGGAGGAAGAACCTCGAGAGTCACTGTGATGCTGAGCTTTAGGTCTGATGTCTGAGAGGGAAAAGGCCAATGTTTGGTGAGCCTCCATCGGTTTGAAGAGGTCAAAGGTGAAGAGCGTCCGTGCTGGTTTGGGTTCCGTCTGAGAAGAACCACAAACGGGCTTTTTCTTTTCCTCCTTGCTGCTGACATCTTTCTCCTTCTTGCAGTCTTTTTTAACATGGAGGGTTGCTTGCTTGTGGGTTTTGCCGTCCTCCCTTCTCGACGTGTTGCCATCCTTTCCCTCCCTGTGGCCGATCTTTTCCTTCTTCCCGTGCGAAGACTTGTGTTTGTGTGGCCACGAGTCTCGAGCCTCCTCTGTGTCCGAGCGTGAAAGAGGCGCCACTTGTGAGCCTCCCCGGTCTTTATCGTGCTCCTTCTCTCTCCTGATGCTGGGTTGTGTTTTGGAGTCGAACTTGTCGTCCCTCTGAGCAGCAGAGTTTTTACTGCCCTCTCTGGTTCGCTCTTCATCCTCCTTTTTCTTTATCTGCAGTAAAGTGCTGCTCTCTTTGACCCTCTCCTTGTCTCGTTCTTTTCCTCGATCTTTCTTCTCCTTCTCCTTACTCCTGTCCTTCTTTTCTTTAGTCCTTTCCTTCTCATCTCTCTCTCTCTTTCCTTTATCCTTTTCTTTTTTGATTAGTGGTGTGCTGTAAGTGCTTCCTGTACCATCTTTACTCTTCTCTTTGACAACCTGACACGTCTTTTGCAGCCGCTCTTCCTCCACGTCGCTTTCTTTCCTGATCTGTGAGGACTTTGATGCGCCGCCCTCCCCTGGACTCCTCTGCAGTGTTTGAGAAGAGTCTGCACCTCCTTTACCGTCCTCTTTCACGTCTTCCTCAGCTTTAGTTTCCATTGGTGTACGTTTGAATAGAACCTCGTCTCTCTTGTTCTCGACCGAGGGCAGCGGCTGCGTTGCTGACGGCTCCGGCTCCCCTCCGTCGTCTCGCTCTTCCTCCTTGAAATTCTGTATTGGCGTTTGCAAAGGAGGCTCCTCCCTTTTCTCCACCTCCTCCACCTTCATTACTGTCTGCAGAGCAAGGTCACACTTACTCCTCTCTTCCTCCTCGTCGTCTTCCTCCTCTTTGATGATGAGCGCCGTGTCTCTTGGTGCACACTTATCCTCTTCATTCACCTCCTCCTCATGTTGGTGATACAGTTTGAGCCTGATGTGCCAGGCCAGACTGCAGACGGCAGACACCGTCTTGAACTGGTGGACGACTCCTCTGGGGATGAAGTAGATGTCGTTGTGGTACAGCTGGATTCGGGCGTATCGGATCCCTTCCCTCCTCAGCTGGTTCAGCTTAGCGTCGTCAATCCACTGCACACACTGTGGACACAGGAACAGTGACGTTCAGACATTTCGATTTCTTCAAAACATTTCGGTGTGGTAAACGATAAGAACAGGGATCGATATAACAAGTATCACATACAACATCCGACATGTTAGGAGTCTGTAGACTGGCGGTGTATTTATTTTTAATGTTATGAAACAGGCGTTTAAACACTAATACTTCTTCAGCCTCATAGATATCGTCGTCCTTTTTTTTGTTGTTGACATCAGACACCTGACACTGCTGTTCCTTTAGGTGATCCAGGACACGTGTCCCACAGTCAGGTGCACAGATCACAGGACGCTTCTTTAATGAAATACGAGCTGTAGCTTTGTCTGTCTTACTAAGCTTAGGAGAAGAAAAAGCACCGTTTGCATTTTAACTGCCAAGTTATTGTTCTGGGGAATAAATAAATCTGAAGAGCTTGAAGCAGGTGCAGTGCAAGGTTGTTTGCACGGGTTATTCCAAATATTGCAACTTATGTACGCAAGACACAGCTGCGCAGCGGTCGAAATGGTTTTGTTCCCACTTTTAAACAACTCCAACTCCTTAAAGCATTTCTGATGTGGAGCATGTTGTGGGCTTGACTGGACACGCAGCATCTGTCCTGTATTTATTTTACCCCAATATCTCTTCGTTCACTGTCCACTCCCCAAACTTTCTAGTTCACCTTCACATCTTGGACTTTCTGTTCGACTCATCTACTCTGTGCCAAACCACAAACAGATCCCAGAAAGACTTTCATGGTTTAAACAAACAACGAACTGTGAGCCCTCCTAACACAGAATCAGACATGTTGTGAATCATCCTGCAAACCGGACAGGAACTGACTGCCACATCCCTTTATTAATTATATTTGCTCACTTCTTAGCCTCTGAAACTTTTATCTAGCTGCTATCTTAGTTTGTCTGGTTTAATGCAGACCAGGTCATGTAAAGTTTGTTTATCAGAACTTATGGACTGAAAACCTGCAGCATCATGACACTAGCACGAGTAAGTTCAAACAAACACTTATTTCTATTATACTTGTGCTGTTAAACGTGACTGAGGAATAATCAGACCCACCTGAGACAGCGGGGGTTCATGGAGGTCCAGCTGCAGCCTCATGACCACATCTGGAAAATCTCCAGCGTGGAAACACACCACGTCTTTGGTGATCCGAGCAGGAGCATCACAGCTGTAAGACAACACACCAAACCCCGTTCAAAGATGTGATCTCGAATCTGATCACAGGTAAAAAGAAACGAGCCGTTTTTATTCCAAGTAAAATGTCCCATTGCACTCACTCCTCTCCACAGCGCACAGCCTTCAGCACGCCGACAGCAGCAGTAGTTTGTCGCTCGAAGCCCTGACCGATGTGGTCAGCGTGCGCTCTCGTTCGGTCCTCAAACAGCATCTCTCTGGGCTCACTGGTTCTGGGTAGATACTGCAGGTTCTTTATCTCATTAGTGGACCTGGAATGTTCACAGCAGTCAGGATTTACGCAAAGCATGTGAAAGCTCCTAAACACAGCATGTTCCTAAAAACCATCATGTGCACGTGAAAATATTTGATTATTAAGGAGAGACTCCATGATGCACATCTGGAGCGTGTGAACTCTGCACACCTTTTCCTTTTGAAGGGTGACTTCGGCATGTCTGCCATTGGGATCATCTGTTCTCCTGGCCTGACCCACATGATGGGGCCGTCGTCGCTCTCTCTTGGGCTCTGCAGCCGCAGACTGGAGAACGTTCCCCAGGGCAGAGTTCTCTGCAGGAACACAGGACGAGAAACTTCAGGTTACACAACATAACACAGCGACACAAAACAGATGTCGACACATCTGTTTTGATGTAAAGACACACAGATATGAGTGAACTCACCACCAGGAAGGGGGATTCTTCTAACAAGTGGATGAACTCCGGGAAGTAGTCTCCAACCTCTTCATCCACAGCGCCGACCAGGCTGACCTGCCGCATGGCTCCAGCTCGGTACGTTCCCTTGGAATACGTCCGCTTCACCTGCAGGAGACACCACGGGTCAGAACCAGCAGGTAACACATCTGATTCTAATAGATTCTGACATCCAGCTGACTGCCACATGAGACATTCTTCAACCATCTTCTTGAAGAAAAGGCCGGTGCTGCATGCTCTTCAAACCAACGGTGTGACCTTTCCGGAGCACCTGCCTTTAATAATGCACCGGAAAATCTTTACATGTATTTTTTTAAAAGACAAAAAATGTCAGCACAAGATGAATGCACGATAAGCTACTGGTACTCAAAAAACATGACCCATGCTGCAAAATGAGTCGGACTGAGCGCACGCTGCAGTGAAAAACTGTGAAAATATTCATTGTTGCTGTAACTGAATTTTTGTGTTTGAATCCTTAAAGACATCATGTCCAGTATGCAAGTCTTCCTAATTTACATTTTAAACCAAGCTGTAAAACAAGTATGCTTTTAGAAATAATCCATTTACGGTCATTTCCTTTGAAAAGACCATTTTTCTCTGCCAGCTCCCATAGCACTGGAAAATCCCTTCGTATAATGCTTGGCTTCATTGTCAAGTTGTCAGATTCGCCTTTTAAATACACAACTGTAATTATTGATACATTTTTCAACCAATAAAAATTGAGTTTTCAAACCAGCACTTTTATAAACTGAGCTCGTTAGCAGGTGATAAATTTGACTAATTTTAACAATTAAACTATTTTAAACTCAATAATAAAACATTTCTTATCGAGAATAATTGGACGAATGTAGACTCAATAAGCATTAGACTCATGTCACATATGCTTAAAACAAATATTTTACAACAGAGACGCACTCGGACATCAGCTTGAGACCAGTAGCAGCTGGTATCAGCCTGATGGGCCAGGACCAGTGATCGGATGATTTTACACATAAAATTGTCATGTTTCTAAAGCCACAGATGTTATTATAATTATTTAACAGTGCATTGCAATAATATTGCGATGTGATAAAACGAGACTTTCTAATAGCAAAGGCTGCAATTTGACTGGTCATGTGAACTGGTTACGTGACTTGCGAGTGAGCAGAGCAAAGCGGAGCAGGAGTCAACACTGCACTTTAACCGGTTGCACAATGGCGTCAGGCTCGACAGAAACTGATACATCTGAAAGTTTGGTACCAAAGAGGAGCAGCACGTCCGTTGTTTGGAATTATTTTGGCTGTAAAAATGAAGATGCTGTGCAACCACATGAACTGTGCAGAACCTGCCTTGCTGCTGTTGCTACCTCTCGAGGTAACACCACAAATCTTTAACAACACTTAAAAAAACACCACAAAGCCATTTACGATAGTTGCATGACTAGAATGCCAACGACCGGTGCTTCATCTTCAAATAAGCAATGTACCAGCCGACAAGGATCATTGCCGAACTGTTCGAAGGCATTACTCCGTATGAACATAATTCGAAATGGTACGTGGAAACAACTTGAGCAGTAATAGAGTTCATAGCGAAAGACATGATTCCTATTAATATAGTGACCGATAGTGGCGCTGAGGGTCCCATCCCAGTGGATTTTGGATCAAGTAGATGCCATTTACACAAGGTTTGTTTTCTCAGTCATCCAGGTATATAACAACAAAAAAGGTTGAATCATGTCATCTGGACTTCGTTTTTTTTTTTTGTTAAAAAGAAACGTTTCGCCCCTCATCCAAGAGGC